GATATCAATTTTTTCATCATGGGTGTCATTTTCATGGTTTTCGAGGGTGTTGAAGCTGATAGTGCTGTCGAAATGTAAATCCAAGATGACGGCTGCAATAGATATCAATTTTTTCATCTTGGGTGTCATTTTCATGGTTTTCGATGGTGTTGAAGCCGATAGTGCTGTCGAAATGTAAATCCAAGGTTGCGGCTGCAACAGATATCAATTTTTTCATCTTGGGTGTCATTTTCATGGTTTTCGAGGGTGTTGAAGCCGACAGTGCTGTCTAAATGTAAATCCAGGATGGCGGCTGAATAAGATACCAATTTTTTCAACATGGGTGTCATTTTCATGGTTTTCGAGGGTGTTGAAGCCGATAGTGCTGTCGAAATGTAAATCCAAGATGACGGCTGCAATAGATATCAATTTTTTCATCATGGGTGTCATTTTCATGGTTTTCGAGGGTGTTGAAGCTGATAGTGCTGTCGAAATGTAAATCCAAGATGACGGCTGCAATAGATATCAATTTTTTCATCTTGGGTGTCATTTTCATGGTTTTCGATGGTGTTGAAGCCGATAGTGCTGTCGAAATGTAAATCCAAGGTTGCGGCTGCAATAGGTATCAATTTTTTCATCATGAGTGTCATTTTCATGGTTTTCGAGAGAGTTGAAGCCGATAGGGTTGTCGAAATGTAAATCCAAGATGGCGGCTGCAACAGATATCAATTTTTTCATCTTGGGTGTCATTTTCATGGTTTTCGAGGGTGTTGAAGCCGATAGTGCTGTCGAAATGTAAATCCAAGGTTGCGGCTGCAATAGGTATCAATTTTTTCATCATGGGTGTCATTTTCATGGTTTTCGAGAGAGTTGAAGCCGATAGGGTTGTCGAAATGTAAATCCAAGATGGCGGCTGCAATAGATATCAATTTTTTCATCATGGGTGTCATTCTCATGGTTTTCGCGAGTGTTGAAGCCGATAATACTGTCGAAATGTAAATCCAAGATGGCGGCAGCAATAGGTATCAAGTTTTTCATCATGGGTGTCATTGTCATGGTTTTCGAGAGATTTGAAGCCGATAGTGCTGTCGAAATGTAAATCCAAGATATCGGCTGATGTAGGTACCAATTTTTTCATCATGGGTGTTATTTTCATGGTTTTCGAGGGAGTTGAAGCCGATAGTGCCGTCGAAATGTATTTAAACTACTTTAAAAATTCCGTATAATCATGTTATACGTAATTTTTTTAATGCGCTTGGCAAAGGCATGCCCGATTGGATTTACCACTTTTTTATTTATTTACAATTATAATAAAGTTTTTCTAACTATTACATAATATCTAAGCTCTAGCTAGTTTTAAATGATACTTTTCGATATTACGAACCAGTGACGCGGTCGATTTTACAATGCTTAATTACAACTTTCACAATGGGACAATAATTTTTGTGGCTTCATAATGAATAGTTTTGATTTACATACCATGTAGTTAGGATTGGAATCTTTTTTGGAGTAAAGTACATTCACTTTTAAAATAACAGCTTGTTATTTCACGTGTTTAGTTTACGTTACTTTTAGCAGCATCTAAAATGCTCGTTATCAGGAAGCATAAAGATGCTTCCAGATAACGAGATTCTGTATGTATAAGTTAACATATTATATATAAAAATCATTTTTAATTTAGGAGCACTGCTGATAGCTGAAATAACACGATTTTTCATAAATATACAAAATCATTACTATCTTGAAAACTTTCTGCCACTTTTGTGATGTGCATAAATCCAAAATCTACATTATAAAAGTAGTAAGAATTCGTCTGATTGATCTTCTTGTGCAAATCACTAATTCTTACAACCTAATTCCTTGTGTATAAATAACTCACGTTATTTTAATAACAATATAAAAACTTTAAACTTTATTATTCTCATAAAGTATAAAGTACGTTTGCCCGCAATAACGCACAATACTTTATCATAAAGTACGGGTGGCCTTACCTGTAGTTAAATTACTTTTCAGCGTGCTTTTCTCCTTTATTGCTTTTCATTTAAAAAGTTTTAAAATTAAACATATTTGTTACAGTCAAAACTCTTTCTTGGTCAAAACTACTTTTGATCGATGAAAACAAGCAAAAGTATTTATGACTAAAGAGTTGGTCAAAATTAGTTTTGACTAAAAATAATATTGTTTAATAGAAGTTTTGAGTGAAAAATATCGGTTAAAAGTAATTTTGACCAAGATTGGTGGTTAAAATTACTTTTGACGAGTTTCTAATTAAAAAAAATGTTAGATATTTTACAAAAAATTTAGTACCAATAAATTTTGGTCTACTAGTAAACCTAGCCTAAAACAGTTTTTTACAGGCTAAAACCCAAAAAACTGTTTTAGGCTAAACTAGTAGTTTTGACTAGAGCCTGTAGTCTAACAAAAGCACTCTGTTACTCGGTCAAACTAGTTTTTCCTAGACTGAACTAGTTTTCCTAACCCAAACTCTTCGTTGTCCGTTGATCCGTTGTCGTGGCAGTTACTCTTGTTCTTCTGATATTCTGGTTATGGATTCAATTACGCAGAGAAACTCTGTTATTAGCCCTTTACATTGCTCACTGACAAGAAAACATTTCAAACATTTTTACGTGGTAGAGCCATTCTACATCTATATTATGGTTGTAACACGAATGGGTCGGCTCGACCGGGGAAGGACCACTCTCTTACAGAATACCAGCGTAAAATAGCAGCTTAACGCTGCTGTGTTTCGTATGGTGACTGTAGAGAACCAGAGACCCTTTTTACTGGAAATGAGGTTTGAGGAATTCCTGTGGATACGAGACATTCCATATTAGTCCTCATGGGTGACAACGCATCTGCATTTTGATTCGTAATCGAGGATAGATATAGATGTCTATGGGCCACAGCAACCACTTACCATCAGGTGGACTGTGTGCTCGTTTGTCACCCATATCCTATAAAAAAATTATTACAGGTGGCAGGATTCCGTTCTGCCTAGGCGTCCATCTGAGTAGGTCCGCCACCCTCTTTCCTATTTCTGCCGCTAAACAGCAGTGCATGCACATCTGTACTCCGGTCCGAAGGATATAAAGAGGCTACAGGCCCACAACCTGTGATTATACTGGCTTTCCAATTTACTTTTTACTTTTTGACATTCCACTTTAGTCCTCAGATGTAACAACGCATCAACCGTGATGAAACCAAGCGTCATTGTCTTTAGATTAAACAAGTAAAATTAAAAATTTTGTACAACCGACTTCAATATAATAATTAAGGATAACTCAAAAACTATTGATCGTACCTTATGGGACTACATGAGAAGCACCAGCTTTCAAATAAAAAAAAATCATTAAAATCGGTTCACCAAGAAAAACGTTATGAGGTAACAAACATAAAAAATACAGTCGAATTTAGTACCGCCTGTTTTTGAAGTCGGTCAAAAACCAAATATAATGCATTTGGTCTTATATAAAAACCAGCGACTTGCCGCGGCTTCGCCTGGATAGGATCTATTTATGTGACTTTATTTAGATTTAAGTTAATCAAAGACTATTTATTTTAACAACTCTTTGTTTTTAAAAAATCTCCTAGTTTTGCGGATAAAATATCACTCCTGACATTGCTCTATATCTGTTCATGAATTTTCATTGCAATCGGTTGAGCCATTCTGAAGGTAAGCATTTTTTTCTATAGGATAAGGGTGACAAACGAGCCCACAGTCCACATGATGGTAAGTGGTTGCTGTGACCCATAGACATCTACATTTATCCTCGATTACGAATCAAAATACAGATGCGTTGTCACCCGTGAGGACTAAGATGGAATGCCTCGTTTTCAGTAAAAAGGGTCTCCGGTTCTCTACACTCACTATACGAAACACAGCAGCAATAAGCTGCTATTTTACGCTGGTATTCTGTGAGAGCGTGGTCCTTCCCCGGTCGAGCCGACCCATTCGTGTTACAACTATACCAGAAATATAGCTGCAGCATGGCTTTACAACGTATAACGCATATTTTTTTTAAATTGTTATTCATCTCTTAATGCCATGCAAATAACCTCCTCAATTCAATATAAGGCAGTTATTTTTATATTCATCATCATCATCATTCATCATTACAGCCCTTCACAAGTCCACTGCCGAACATAGGCCTCCCCCAAAGAATGCCACAAAACACGGTCCTGAGCCACCTCCGTCCATCGACTTCCTGCATGTCTTACCAGGTCGTCACTCCATCTCGTGGGGGGACGCCCTACACTTCGCCTACCGGTACGAGGCTGCCACTCGAGAACCTTTCTTCATTTTTATTTTTATATTACAGATTCGATTTTATTTAGAACAGAACATCAATTTTATTTATATGTATTAAGATTAAGCATTGATAATTTATAGAAAAAAAGTAATAAGGACTTAAATTGCAAAACTTTAATAAAAAATACTATCTCCTATATCTAGTATTAGATTAAAACGAAACCAAAGGGGATATTAAGATAATAAAAAAGGAATCTTAATTTTTAGGCCCTAGCAGAACATACATACACGCGCGCTTCGCGCTTAAGGCATGCAATAGAGAAATGTCCTTTGTGATATTACTGAGAGTAATAGATATGTTTAAGGGTGTTTTCACCCTCTAAACATAATTTTTTGACAACCAGGAAAATATAAATGTCATCATTATTGGACTTTTTAATTAATTAATAATTGTTTTTTATATTATTATTCGCAGTTAGGACATGTTACGACATTCTTGGCGACAGTGTATTAGATTTCAATTGTAATTTAGGTTAATAATATAAGTTTTAACATAAGTCCGAAATAGAATTAGAACGACAGTAGCCTAATAGCAGGGTGTGGGGCGCGTATTATAAAGGTCGTGGGTTCTAATCTACCATACAACTACCGTCGTGAACCACGCCTAACAATCATTTCAAGCTTCTTAGTGGTTGAAGGGAACATTATTTAAAATGTCAGTAACATTGCTAGTTTTTTTTTAATAAAAAGTAAAGTAAAATATATTTAACAGGACGGCTTCGTACTTGTGGGTTCAGTGGCTGGGCAGCGGTACTGGTCCGCAATGTTGACGCTCGATGCCCGAATAACTTGCGGCTGTTGGACTCCAGACGACAGTCAAGTATACCTCGGTACAGCGTCCGCGCAGCTCGTCGTCATGGACGTGCATGGTGCTATGGTTTCACAGGTGAGTGCCATAGTAGATTAGGCCATATTACTTTATGATATTAGTTTTTCTGCGTGATAAGACTCCTTTTCTGAGTAGTTCATCTCGGTTTGTAACACTTTCTACTGCCAAATAGCAGTGCACTGCTCACACTTTTGAGATCAGTTTTGAAGTACAGAGAGCCAGTATAATGACAGGCTGTGAGGCGTTGCCTCGTATGTGCATGTGCTTATTTATTCAGTGCTTATCTTTTATACTATATACTAGCTGACCAGGCAGACGTTCTGCCCTTTCCAAACGACCATTTGCTTTCCCAAAAAAAAAAACGCCTGAAATTAGCAAAAAAATTGAGAGTCACTTATCGGTATAAAAACTGTCCTATCTCTCAAGTTGGACCAAACTGCACACAGTATGCAAGATTTTATTGAAATCAGTTCAGTAGTTTAGGAGTACATCGCGGACAAACAATGTGACACGTAATTTTTATATATAAAGATAGACAATTACCCTAAAAAGACTTAGTTTAGACTTTAGACTCACGTTTACAGCGCCGGCGTAGATATTCCATGTGATGCGGTAGAGGCCGCATCGCCCCTTTTTACTGGAAACGAGGCACTCCACCTTAGTCCTCAGGGGTGATGTATGCGTGACGCATCTGCATTTTGATTCTTAATCGAGGGTAGACGTATATTGTGCGACAGTATCCACTTACCATCGGGTGGATTGTGTGCATGCTTGTTTTATTCTATAAAAAAAGACGATTCCAAGATGTATATGTTATGTGTAAATGTAAACTTTGAAAAATGAACAAATAAGCGCACTTCTTGCATTGAAAAATGCGCTCTGACCCGCGCCGACCTGCTCCGTTAGTTCTGAATCATACGTTACTCTTTGCATTAAGCTGGCAATAATCTCCAAATTCCCTTTTGCCAGGTCCAGCTTGTCGCCGAGGGAGGTATAACGGCGATGGCGTGGTCTTGCGAAAAGTTCAAAATGGAGGAAGGTGAAGAAGGGAATGAAACCACAAACGGTCATGTCCTCGCTGTGGCACTGGGTAACGGGGAAATAGTGTTTTTGCATGGACACGATGATGTGAGCCCTGTACGCGTATGCACTGGTCTGAGAGGAAACACGCTGGCTATGGAGTGGGCGAATTCCCGTGAATTGTTAGCTGTCGCGGGGACGTTAACCGCAGGTAAATTGTATACATTATCTGTATTTATATTATGTGACAACGTTCTCATACCCAATTATTGAATACTGCTAGAAGCTACACTATATCTAATAGTGTCGTAAGTACTGAGAAAACAGAGACAGACATATGTAAGCACGGCTTGCGTTAAGGTTGCTTTATAATATGCAGTGTAAAACAAGAGGCTTAAAAAGTATCTAATCATATTTCTTTTTTTTTTATAAAATAAGGGTGACAAACGAGCACACAGTCCGCGTGGTAAGTGGTTGCTGTGGCACATAGACATCTACATCAATCCTTGTTTGCGAATCAAAATGCAGATGCTTTGTCAGCCGTGAGGACTAAAATGAAATGCCTCTTTTCCAGTAAAAAGGGTCTCCGGTTCTCTACATTCAACATACAAAACACAGCAGCATTAACCTGCTCTTTTACGCTGGTATTCTGTGAGAGAGTGGTCCTTCCCTGGTCGAGCCGACATATTCGTGCTACAACTATACTACTAACATAGCTCCAGCATGGCTCTACTACGTGTAAAAAAAAACGTGATTTTGCACCATGATTATTTTTAAGCCTTGTTGCATTTACATCATATCGTTTTTGAAATGAAACTTTTTACGGAGGTCTTTGAAATTCTGATCCGCAGCCTTTTTGTGTGACGAAAAGTGTTGGGGGCAAACACTACGTGCCGAGTCATTCAGGCCGATCATTCAATTCGCGAACGCAGACCATTACATACCATAAAATTTATAGTTATACAATTACAACGGTCTTTCGTTCAAATACTATAATCTTATATTAATTTCATTTAAGAGAGTTACCAAGGTGCTAGAATGAAATACAATGAAGTAGATGGCGCTATTAAAAATGTACAAGGGAAGAAGTAATTTGAAGCCCAATAAGGCAGGGCGGCGATTATTTAAAATAACAATTTGTAAATTTTAATTGAAATATTTTTTGTTGACATAAAATAAAAACTTTGGTTTAATTAAAATAAAATTACATAAAAATTACAAAAATAATAAATAATTACCTAATTAACAAACTTTAAATGTGTATTTTGTGTTATACATTATTTATTCTGTGGTTATACTGGAATCTAAATAATTACTTCATTCACTGTGGTGAGTCCTAGTGTTGCCTAAACTAAATAATTTCTCTTCATAAGATGATGCACTGTGACACATATTTATTTAATTTTATGTAAATAAATGAATGATATACACAATCTATGCTATTCAAAAGTCATTGATGAATAATTGTAATGTATCCCAGTATTACAAAAGATTCACTTCTATCGTGTGTCTTCACGACACACTCTGTTTTTTTTGTTTAATTAGCATATCTACCTACTCGACTGCGATAACAAAACAATAATAAAATTACGAACAATTTTCACTTTAGTAAACTTTTTATGTAGGTACTATCTCGGATTTGCTCTGCCGTACTAACACGGCTTCGTCGGCAACTTGAAAGCTTTTAAATTTAAACTTCTAGAAACCCTACCTTAGCTAGTTCAGCGTTTTATAAGAAATTAATCCTTAATATTCATACTCTACGGCTTTTAATATTTTCTGGTGTTAATATTCCCACAGATAGTCTTGCGAGGCGCATAAATAGCGGATTTAAAACCCCTCGGCGTCCACGCCTCTTACTTTACAGAATGTTTCGTTACCTAGGTATAATATGTCTAAAATGAGGGGAAAGATTTGAGTCGAAGAGTTTGTTTTACACATCTTTGACTGGGCCAGTACTTTTTACGAAGGAAATAAAATTTAAGAGACTATTTCAAAGAAATACTCTTGATAATTGGGAATACATGATTCGCATTGGAGAACATTATCGAATTCAGCAAGGAAAAACAAAAGTACAAAAGTTATCGTAATCTATCAGAGCGTTGGCAGCAAATAATCGATAGCGAAGTAGATTTATTATGCATTAGTTGTACTATGTAATATCACAGAATAAATAATAGGTAATATAGGATACTTTCCTCATATAGAAATACATAACATATTTTTCTTGCCACATTTGTGTGTGAATAACCTAATATGCGGGTCTAATGGGATTTTATATGAATTTTTGAGGTTTGAGATATTTTTCTCTTCTAAGTCGGAGTAAACATACTCCTTTCCATTTATTCTTTTTTTTTCCTTTGTCATCTGCCAATAGTATTATAAAGTAGCTTTTAACAACAACGAAGTGAAAGAACGAAGACATAGAAAAAGATCAAAAGTAAGTTGAATAGTTGTAGCAGTTGTAGCCTTTTTTACCAATGCTAAGTGCTTGATAAATACACCGAAATATTGGAGATATTTAGTAAATACAGCGCCAGGGGAGAAGAGTTCGTTACCTTGTTCCATCGTGGTCTTCAAAATAATTTTATTCCTTACACACAGCTTTCCTGACGACTTTACGCTTCTTACCAAGCATCTGATAAATTATCGCCTATAATTTTTATTTAAACATATTAAAGATATAAAAAGAACTGAAATGCCGAACTGATTTTTATTTATTTAATTATCTAAGTAAATATCTTATGAATTTTATTCTTTAACTGTATCTATTATGAATTTTATTGCCTTAGAAGACAGTTTTACTATTCAGTTCTTTATAAATACGGTTGTTTTCTACCGACTTCAAAAAGGAGACGGTACTCAATTCGACTGTATGTTTTTTAATGTGTGTTACCTCATAACTTTTTTCTGGGTGAACCGAGGGGCCGAGCCTACGAGTGTTCAGTAAAAGTGTATAGAGTAAAAGTGGAAAATCTACAAGAAAAAGAAAAAAAAGATGAGTATGTAGAGAAACTGAAAGAAAGTTTTAAAGGCATAGAAGAGATAGGTGTGGTTGAAGGTTTGTGGGAGACATTTAAGAAAGGGGTCGTGAATGTTGCTATGGAGGTATGCGGGGTAGCTAAAAGAAAGAAAGGAAGAAAGAATTATAACGTGTGGATGGATAAAGATGTACAAAGGCAAGAAAAGAAGAAAGCGTGGTTGGATTGGTTAGCAACAAAAGCTAACCAAAAAGTTCAAAAGGCAAAGGTTTGACGAGATAAAGGAAACAAGAACGAAGTATAAAAGATTGAAAACAGCAGCGAAAGAAGTTGTGTCTAGAAAGAAAGAAGAAAGAAAGGATGATTTCGATAGGAGGTTCACTGAAGATTTCCAGTCAAACATTAAGTTTTTCTGGAAATCCATTAAAACAGCCAGAGGAAAAACTTCTACCTCGGAGCTGAGTACAATCAGAAGTCAAGATGGCTGCATTATAAAAGGAGAAGAATGTGTGTTAAAGAGATGGAAAGAGTATTTTAAAAGTTTGTTTGAAAGAGAAGAAGTGCAGGTACAGCATTCGGCACCTTCCATAGAAACTAATATAAATGTTGATGAAAGTGAGATAAGCATGGATGAAATAGTGAAAGCGTTGAAAAGTATGAGAGTAGGTAAAGCTGCATGGTATGACAGGATTACCGTCGAGATGCTGAGGGCTGGACAGGGCATAGTGGCTAGTCAGCTGTACCGCCTTTTCAATTTGTGCTGACGAAATGGGCTAGTACCAGGAGACTGGTGCAAAGCCGTAATCGTGCCTTTGTATAAGGGAAAAGGGTCACGGCAGGACTGCATAAATTACCGCGGTATAAGACTTCTCAGCGTCGTCGGTAAATTGTATGCGAAAGTGTTGATTGAAAGGGTTGTGAATGAAGCAGACGAAAAAGTATGGGATGCACAAGCGGGATTTAGAAAGGGAATGGGATGTACGGATCAAGTCTTTTCCTTGCGGTGCATAGCCGAAAAGTGTTTGGCTAAAAACAAGAAGATTTATGCTGCGTTCGTGAACCTAGAAAAGGCCTATGATAGAGTGGTGAGGAATGAATTGTGGTCAGCACTGTCCGTGAACGGTGTGAGCAGTATCCTCGTACGAGCATTGCAATCTGTTTATAGGGATTCTAGTGCTTGTGTAAGGATAAACGGGGCACACACTGAAAGGTTTAATATCGAAAAAGGTGTTAGACAGGGATGTGTAGCGTCACCGTGGCTGTTTAATCTGTTCATGGAAAATTGCTTGACAGATTTAAACGAGAATGAAGGCGGGTTGAGAATGAATGAGTTACTCGTCAAATGTTTTCTCTATGCTGATGACCAAGTATTACTTGCGTCTTCGGCCGAGGAGTTGCAGGAGATGGTAACTACTATGAGTGGAGCTTTTGTTAGGAAGGGAATGAAGATGAATGTAAGGAAGACGAAAGTGATGGTGTTTGAAAGAGATGAGGCAGTGACAGACTGCAATATAGAAAGAAAGAAAGAAAGGTTTATTCTCCAAAATGACGCCATCACAGATAACATAAAAAAGAAACACATAATCTATACATATAATAAAACTGTAAATAGCAGATGTCTGTACATTTTATATTTTTGTAATAAAAGTGATTGAGGGGTACTAAAAATAAGTAATTAAATACATTTCTACCATTTTTAGAATTTTCTGTCTGTCTGTCTGTCTGTCTGTCTGTCTGTTTGTTTGTTAACGTATCACGTATAAAGTACTAATTTATGTCATAAGAATTGTTAAGGAAATTATAAAGTGTATCTTCGGGTTACATTTAGTCTTTATTTCATTAAAATCAGTTCATTCCATCAAAAGTTATGATAAATATTCTGAAGTATGGGTAGGGAAGTATAGGTACGAATTTGCTCAACGGTGGCTTTGTTTGAGTCATCAAGTGCATTTTAAACTAATATCATATCATAAATCATAGTTAAATTATGTAAAATAATGATATAATTATGTATATCTAAAACGCAGTAAACAAAAGTATTAAAGAACGTATTAAATATATTATACAAAAATATATTAACCTTATTAACTAAATCTGAAGCACAATAGTTAACCCATTTCTTCGATAGATGGTGGTGTGGCATAAATGTGATACAAAAAGGCAGGTTAAAATTTATTCCTGTAGTTGAGTTTCATATTTGCTTCTAACCTTTATATTAATGACACGCTGCCCTACTGCGTGTTGACAATCTCATTTATTTTTTATTTTTTTACCGCCGAGTACTCTATGTGGTAAATCAAATTTTAAGAGCTATTAACAATTTCATTTTTCGGCGAGGATCAAACTTTCTTTTTTGCTTACTATGCAGGCACTGATTTATAAGTTCTTTTATGTTTTTTATTGTATCAATCGTGTGAATTAATCTCTTATTTTTAGAATTGATGTTAACAGCGCCATCTCTCTTAAATCTATACATATAATAAAAATGGTAATAACATGTTATGTCTGTTTCTGAATATTGTATAGTATATTAATTTGCGACTAAAATCATTATTGGGACTGTAAATCATTAAATAAGTACATTTTTATAATTTTTAGAATTGTACTATCTGACGGTCTGTCTGTTTGTTTATGGACGCATGACGTTTTGAGTAAACATCTTTTTTTTCAATGAAATCCTTAAGAAAATCATAAAGCGTATTATCAAGTTCATTTAATCTTTGTTTTATTGAAATTGGTTAATTCTATCGAAAGTCATGATTATTATTTTGAAATGTAGGTTCGAATTTGTTTAATGGCGCCACAAAATCCCAAAAATAGTAATAAAAAGATTCGTGTGAAAAAAAACGTTCTATTATAATATATTTAGTATCGTTCTATTATAGTACTTAAAACACAGTAAAAATATGTTTTCCTTAAATTAAAAAAGGATGTTTTCTCACAAAGAACGTAATAGATGGCGTTGTACAAATTACAACCTTTTCTGAATTGCGGTGTTAAGATTTTACGCAGGTGAATCGTATTGAGACTCACTGTAATAATTTATGGCCATGAGCCATACGAAGCTGCAAGCCTGTAAGGTATATATACAGAGGTATTGAAATATTTAATTATTCAACAAAACTCGACTAAAACTAAAAGTAGCAAAATCGCAATAAATGTCGTGATGGTGATATTGTTTTATAGCCAGAATCACTCTAATACCAAATAACTTTTTTTTCAGTTTTAAGTAAAGTAAAGTTGCAGCCTATTTACGTCCCACTGCTGGGCACAGGCCTCCTCTCATTTCTGAGAGGGTTTTAGGGCAAGGAAATGTCCACCGCGCTGCCCCAATACGTGTTGGCGAACTTCACATGTCATCGAAATATTATTTTTTATTTCTCAAACATGCAGGTTTCCTCACGATTTTTTCCTTCACCGCCGAGCACGTGGTAAATCAGCACTTAAAATTGCAATTGACAATTTCATTGGTGCCGGCGGGGATCGAACCCGGGTTGCTCGAGTACTGTAAAGCTTACAGCGAGCGCTAACCATCTGAGCTACCACGGCTCAGGCTTCAGTTTTAAGATAGGGATAATAACATCGATGTTGGCATCGCTAGCTCAACATCGATGTTCGATGTTTAAGCCACTCAAAACATTGATGTTGACCATTATCGATGGTTTTTGTATATGTGTAGATAGTTACACATTGTTTTAAAATTATGTGGGTATACACAGCAAGGGAAAAGTAACAATTAACTTGAATATCAATTTACGTAGAATAGTTATTATGCGACAACCGACAACGACACTACAAAATAAAGCGAAAGCAGTGACCATTGTGACATTACAGGAGACACTTGACAATTAAGTTTGACTCACCATACTGACATTTTTTCAGATGAACGATGCGTTCAGAAATTCTGAATTATTCAAAATTTTTAATCTTCAGAGCAGATGCAAGATTTAGTTGATATTGATTTCGCGAGTTCGCATTGTTTGCAAGTTCCCAATTATCGATTATGGGTTCATTGACGTCGATGTTTCGATGTTTGACATATGTCAACATCGATGTTAAAACATCGAAGTTTTAATTTTTAACATCGATGATCATCTAACATCCCTATTTTAAGTGTGTTTCCCACTCAGCGTGTGTTATGCGACGATCGTAAATAAAGCGCAAGGTCAAACTTTACGCGTCAGTACTGATTGTTTTGCACATGGCCAGCTCTATATTGCTTTTTCTCGCGTTAGTAGTCCCCGTAACCTTTTTCTGTACGCCCCGGCTAAGTCTACTTCTATCGTCGTTTACACAGAAGCTCTATCATAAACGACTTAGAACTTTGAGAATATCAATTTATTTTGTTACCACTTATTCATAGAGTAATGATATAAATCGGTTAATATTCTCTTACCCTAAACGTCAAATTCTTTAAGTAAAACCTATATTCGCGAGCTACGCCGCGGGCACAGCTAGTTTACAAATAATATTGGCTATACAATACAAATTACAATATACTACATATTACAAACTATACAATACCAATACTCATATGTGTCAAGGCGTCATCTGGGAACAGGAGCACACTCAGCATAATGCCATGAATTTTTTTTTTTCTTGTTTTTTATTGTGATTGGAGATGAACAAACTGAACAGGTGAAAGAGTTTGTGTATCTGGGTTCAAAGTTTACAAGATGGAAAGTGTGAGAGTGATATCGAAAGAAAAATGAATGCAGGAAACATGGTGAATGGAGCTTTACACTGCGTTATGAGCTGTCGGAAGGTGTCTAACAAGGCTCGTTTGGCTGTGCATGAGGGGGTGTTGGTTCCGACACTCATGTACGGAAGTGAAAGTTGGGTATGGCAGAAGAAACACGAAAGCAGAATAATTGCAGTTGAGATGAGAGCGTTAAGAAGTATGATAGGAGTTAAACTGAGTGATAGGATAAGAAATAGTGAGATAAGGAAACGTTGTGGTCTGAAAGAAGATGTAGTGACAAAAATTGAGAAAGGTTTGCTGAGATGGTTTGGTCATGTCAAGAGAATGAATGAAGAACGATTGACGAAAAAAGTGTATAAGGCGAGTGTGAATGAAAATGCTTCAAGGGGTAGACCTAGGCGGACATTTCAAGACCAAATCAGGGACGTCTTGAAAAAAGGCCGGGTCAAGAGCACCCTAAACCGTAGAGCATGTATGAAGAGAATAATGAAAGTGGACGAAGCGAAACAAGTATGTAAGGATCGTAGCAAGAGGAAAGAAGTGGTCTCTGCCTACCCCTACGGGAAAGAGACGTGATTATATGTATGTATGTATGTATTTTTACTCATTCATTCTACAGACCTGTAAATGACACGGTGACCCAAGCGAGGTTGGTTTTTCAATCTGTAAGAAGAATTTACGATCATGGCTCGTGAGCTCGTAAATTCAACGTATCTATGTTTTATGTTTTGGAAGCCTTGTTGCCGGCTACAATATCGTGACGCTAAAGTGTACATAGTACATTTCATACACATAACATTCAACGAGAATGTAAAACATCTTTAGGTAGCTTTGAATAAAAAAAATCAAACGGACATGCTTATACAGGGCAAATTAGTTTAGTTTACAGTTTCAAAAACAATAAGGCAAGTTTTTCTAGATTTAAACAATGTGGAAAATTCATAATCGCAGACGAATCGCATCTCAGATGTTTTTCTCATCATCGGTCCGATAACTTTTAGACTTCGATAGGGGAATATTTTTATTTCAGCAAAGATGACAAAAATTACTTAAACAACCCAATAGTAAAATCACGATCTATTAAAATGTTCAAAATGTGTTCTATGTTCTAAAGACTTTTTCTCCTTTTTTAATACATTTGCGTTTACTTCTAGTATTGTGTTCGTATTCGGCAAAAGGTTCGTCGAAATTCTCAAGTTGCTTAGTCGATACGAGCGACGATTGATAATGTACATTTTAGCGGCATGATTTACATGAGCAAGGCCCTATAATAATTTCGGTATGTTACATAAAAATGTTAAAAAATGGACAAAAAGTAACAAGTGTCAAATTAGGAATAACAGTGATGGCTATATTTTGTCTTTTATGGTGTCATAATTTTGTCATGTACATGTATATACTTATTTCCAGAGAACAACGAGTCAGACGACACTCCTCCTTTCAAAAATGTTGTTAAATTCTACTCGGACAACGGAACACTTATTTACACCGTCCCCATCCCCTACTCGCAGGTGAATATTTTTTTTTTTTCATTTATTCTTAGGTTCACATTTCACACTTGAATATAACTTATAACAATTTTGTATCTATCTAACTACAACAACCACACTTCATATTTAATTTAAATAGATTTTGTTATCAGAACCAATTGGTCTTATTACAAAAAGTGGTTTATAGTCACAAATTTAAACTAGAATCTTTTTCACTCAATAAGACCTAAAATATAAAGTGTGGTGTTTGACAGCAAATGCCTAACACGGAGACTGTGGCGCCGCTAAGGTTCTTCTTTTTATAGAAGGGCTCTTCCAGCTCTTCTTCAATCAGAGTTAAACCCAAATACTTTATCTGACTGACTTATCTCAATGACTATCTTGAAACCGCTTTTTGTAATAATCTATACATATAATAAAAATGTAAATAGCAGATGTCTGTACATTTTATATTTTTGTAATAAAAGTGATTGAGAGGTACTAAAAATAAGTAATTAAATACATTTCTACCATTTTTAGATTTTTCTGTCTGTCTGTGTGTCTGTATGTTTGTTTGTTAACTATCGTCGTTTACACAGAAGCTCTATCATAAACGACTTAGAACTTTGAGCATATCGATTTATTTTGTTACCACTTATTCATACAGTAATGATATAAATCGTTAAATATTCTCTTACCCTAATCGTCAAATTCTCTAAGTAAAACCTATATTCGCGAGCTACGCCGCGGGCACAGCTAGTCCTAAATACTCGTATATCCCTATATGAAACATATAGACTTCGCCTTTTAAAATGGTTTACATTTAAAGAACTGTGGTATTAAAGCTTAAAAAGAAATTATTGGTGGTGTCTATTTAAAAAAAAATCTTTTGGTTTTTTATAGGTTTTTTTACTTTTCTTAAAGGTATATAACGAATCTTAAAATTAATCTCCATATTGAACAAACTGAACTGAACTGAAGTTAGATAATATATAAAATTTGCAGTAGGTACAGTCTGCTCCCGTTAGAGAGTAAGTATTGGTTTTCTTTTTATAGGATATGATGACAAACGAGCACACAGTCGACCTGATGGTAAGCGGTTACTGTGACCCATAGACATCTACATTTATCCTCAATAAACAATCAAAATGCAGATGGGTCTGCGGTTCTCTGCACTTACCATTTTACGCTGGTATTCTGTGGCAGCGTGGTCTTTCCCCGGTCGAGCCGAACCCATTCGTGCTACAACTATACTACTAATATAGCTGAAACATGGCTCTACCACGTATAAAATCTATTAAAGTTAGTCTGTAAAAATCAATAATAACTCTTATTGAATACTGTCGATTACAATAGAACGAATAGAGTACTTAATGCTTATGACGTTTAACCAACCTCTTAGGCCTAGTGCTATTTTGCAGTGAAATCCTTATACGTGAAACACGCACTTGGCCTATTTTACCTTTTATTTCCCTGCATAAAACTCGCATTAGTACTAAGCACAATTCAAGGATGTCTTTACTTGGATTTGCATAGAGCTGTTTTTGAATACCTAATTCCTATTTACAATTAACGAATTAAAATTCGTTTCCCACTAGTTTTGGATGCTTTATCTCACCATGGCGGGTTGGCCTTACTTGTGAATGTAGGTGCACAAACACATTGTTTTAGTGAGCGTACGTAAACTCAAAAATAATTATCGAGTACCGTCAGAATGGAAAGTAATTGGAGAAAAGTTGTTCGCAGTGACGTAATAAAATAATTAATGTGTTCTTTGCTAAGCAGACCAGCATTGTAATTATGTGTTTCTACGAGTTTCTATGTAATTACGCATTGCATGTCTTAGAGCTGTCAAATGATCGCTATGTTGTATCGTTTTCTCAAAACCATATGAATTTATACAAAGTTATCACGATTAAAATTGTGATTAAATTGTAAATATATTCCTTTTGTCATAAGTATACACACTTCCTCTTTTTGGTTAATCTGTTTATAAATGAGTAATACTTACACTGATGATTACTGCCTTATAGACCTTAGTCAGTACTGGTGTTTTTGTCTAAAATAATCTATGATGGTCAATGTATTATAAACAGATACAGAGGTACTTTAAGATCGATGGAAAATCCTTTTAGTAGTTCCGGCAAAATATAGTGGCCCCCGTGTAGTGGCGGGTAAGAATACCCACTACCCCATATCGTCCCGCAGGTTTAAAAAGCGGCAGAGGGGAAGAAACCAGGAAATGGGCAGCAACGTCTTCCTAATTGATAACAACTAAAAAATAAAAAACTGAGTTTGGCAACCATGAGAAATCCGCCCTTTGAAGCAATCTATGGCGGAGTCCTATGTTCGGCAGTGGACTTTGATAGGTTTTAAAAGGAGTTATCCATAAATTTTGTTTGTGAATAACTCCGTCGGGCGGGTCGGGTGAGGTTAATGAATAGATTTTTTTTATCGATAGACAAAACCTAAGTAATTGTTAATTTTATGTGTAAAATGATTTTGTGTGTGTACCTAATACAATATATTATAGAGCACATTATACTTACAGAATACAAATTCAGTATAATGTGTATCTAATGAATATTACAAAAAAAATACAAGTTAAGTTGATTCCTTTGTATGAAAAATCTAATATCAATATAGTAGCCGATAGTATAATGTTCATATAACATTTATATCATCTACCTAATATGATTATTACATAATGAAATTTATATGTCTTCAGAAGTTTTTGCAATTTTCTAAGTTTGTATCTATGCATATTATTTTGCAGTATAGTTGGAAGTGATTGGGTGATACTGTAGCAATCACGTACTTGTTAGCTAGTACATATAGGTACCTAAGTAATTCAAACTCATAATGAAACCTTCCAGCTAGCTTGTATATAATCATAATTCATATCAGATATTATTATGTATATACTCGTATACTAGGTAATCCATAAGTTTAAGTCGAAAGGAATTAAAACAATTAAACATTTTATATGAAACGACGACATTTTTATATAACACGGGGACACATTACAGGCGCGCGTGACAGCTCTAACGTGGGGTCACGCGGCGCGGCGCTTGTTCGTCGGTGTCGGCGGGGCGGTGTGTACGGCACGTGTCTGGCGGGTGGTGGCGCCCCTACAACTGCTGGCGCGGGTGCGCGCCGCGCAGGCCCTGAGGGAGCCGCGCCTCGCCGTCAAGCTGCCTCTGCCACCTCGGCTACAGCCCGCGCTTGCTAGCCTCTTCGCGCACACTATTCGGGTACCAGCTGTTACTTAAAAACTTTACAGATAAAAAGGACACCTCATACCTTTTATATTATATAGTTTGCGTGGATAAAGTCTCAGTGCAGCTGAATATTTTTCCGCATTACCTACTATTTCAATAAGAAAATAACCGGCCAAGTACGAGTCGGACTCGCGCATGAAGGGTTCCGTACCATCGTAATATACATTTCTAGCAGGGGAGCCCTTTTTAATTTATTTTAATTTTTATTATTTATTGTTATATCGGCAACAGAAATACACATTCTGTAAAAATTTCAACTATCTACCTATTACGAATCATGAGATACAGCCCTCTGATGGACTGACGGACAGCGGAAGCTTAGTAATAGGGTCCCGTTGGTTATCCTTAGGGTACGGAACCCTAAAAAGAAAAAAAAAACCGTTTCCAGTAGGGAAGCCCCCTTTAATTTTTAATTTGTTTTATTTTTATTATTTGTTGTTATAGCAGTAACAGAAATACATATTCTGTGAAAATTTCAACTGTCTACCTATTACGGATCATGAGATAAAGCCTACTGACAGACAGACGGATGGACGGATGGACGGACAGCGGAGGCATAGTAATAGCACGTAATAGGGTCCCGTTGATTACCCTTCGGGTACGGAACCTTAAAAAAGAAAAGTTTATTGCTTTTTATGACTTAAATAAAATAACGTCATTAATCTGATTTTTGCTATTTTTATATTATTACATATTCAAATGACATTTAATAACACCTATGTAAAGATGCAAAGACGAAGACCTACCACCATCACAAGTTTACTGTCGAACTTAGGATCTCCCCTAAAGACCCCTACTAGGTTTTGATCCACCTTCATGGATTGATTCCTCGCATTTAATTAGAACCAATATACATTAAAGAACTTCTTAACTCTCCATCACCATTTGGTGCTAGTAATGCGTCAAATGCTTGAAAGTCAAAATTTCAATAATCAACAAAGCTCAAGCATACCCACACTTTATTGACTTTGTGACTCTTATCAAAGCACCTACTATTCGAATTTAATTATCATTTTGTAGTGTAACGTTCCTGAAACGAACGAACTTCGACGCTTTGTTTCACGACCGCCCACCGCTGGAGGTCGCCTTCATTGCACCATGTTGAGGCACGATGACGAGGAAGCAGGCGCTTACACCTTGTATCTGGAACACCTCGGCGGTCTGGTGCCGCTTCTCAAAGGCCGGCGGACCAGCAAGATACGTCCGGAGTTCGTGATTTTTGATCCTCAGGCTGAAGGTATTATAGTTATTATCTTAAATAATTATTTCTTAAAACTCGAATTCCGCTAGAAGTATACAGTCTGTGAACATATTCAGGATCGCATCCGCTATTGCATTACATTTGAAAGACCACAAATCCTCGCAAAAGAATACCGATAATGATTGACACCATGGATGATTCGTATAGCTAGGCATTAAAATTAAAAACATCCCAATTTCAATATAAAATTAATAAATAAAATTAATTCACGAATACTACCGCAAGACTTCAAGATACTTTAAGTTCGATCTACGTATATCTGACCAAAACTTAATATTTTAAAGCTGAAGGTAGTCCGGACTCAATCCCTTAATCCTCGTGACCATGAGACTGTAAAGCGGTCGAAAGGTCTGGAATTAAGAATAAGTTCAACAAGAAAAATTAAAATAATTTTGTTAAAATTAAATTTTGGCTGAATCGCCACTTAGCATTAAGTGTCATAGTAGTGAAGTATTTTTAAATTCAATGTAATATCATTTATACAAAAATATTTTAAGGACTACGATCGTGTAGGTGGTCGTGCTTATAGACTACTGGTTTCGACATACGAGTGAAAATTTCGGGAATCAAGGAAGTGACACAACATTACTATTTAAAAATGTATTTATTGCTTTTCGAAGTATTCTCCGCAAAATTTGACACATTTTTCCATACGATGGAACCAATCATTGAAGCAACCATTCCATTCGGAAGTTGGGGTCTCCAAAATGGCCGTTTTGTAGGCGTCCACAGTTTCTTCAAGTGATGAAAATCTTTGTCCACGCAATTTATTCTTTATTTTAGGGAAGGTATAGAAATCATTAGGGCTTAGGTCGGGGCTGTACGGCGGATGGTCTAATAATTCTATGTTTTCTTGCTCTAAAAAGTCTTTTGTTCTGTGTGCGGTGTGAGAACTCACATTGTCGTGATGGAGGATGATGCGGCGGTTGCAGTTCTCTTTACGGAGTTCAGAAACGACCTGTGGCAAACAAATGCTAGCATACCAATCTGCATTAACCGTTCTTTGTCCCTGAAGAGGAATAGTCGTAACATGGCCGGTTTTGGAGACAAACGTGGCCACCATTTTTTTTGCAACACTCCGTGAACGAACAATTTTTGTTGGCTTTAACTCATTTTGGAACACCCAAACTCGTGACTGGTTTTTTGTTTCGGGTTCGTACGCGTATATCCAGGATTCGTCACCTGATACGATGTTGTATACAGCATTTGAGGATCCTGCGTGGAATCTTTCAAGAGTTCTGACGCACCAAGTAACGCAAGCCGCTTTTTGCTCTTCACAGAGCGAATGCGGTATCCATCGGGAAAACAACTTTTTTACACCTAATTGGTCATGCATGATTATTTGTATTTGACTCATGCCAATGTCTAAAGTTGCCTGAATTTCGCGGTATGTCACATGTCGATTTTCCTCAATCAGCTTACGCACAGCATCAACGTTTTCTTGGGTGACTGCAGTTTTTGGACGACCTTGACGGGGATCATCACTGAGCTTGACATGTCCACGTTGAAATTCAGCAAACCAGCGATAAATTGTGGTTTTGGATGGGGCTTCATCACCAAATGCAGAAATGATCTGGTCAACACACTGTTTTTGTGTTAAACCACTTCGAAATTCATAATAAATCATCGCTCTTGAATTTTCTCGAGTCAATTCCATTTTCTCAACGACTAAACAAGTTTGACAAAAGCTTGTGACAAGACCGAGAATCTTTTTTTAAATAATAAATGGTATTCAATTTTAATAAACCAAGGACTTTTCAATTAAAAAGATTTTAATATGACAGAAACAGTGGAAATATTCCATTCCCGATACTTTTAGTGCAGCCTATGTAGTAGCCATTTACCATCAGGTGAACTGTATGTCCCTATCGTTTTTACGCAGACGGCTTTGTTTGTCACATCAGTTTACGAACGTGTGAGATACGTGGTAGAACCATGTTGCAACTGTATTATGGTTGTAGCACGAATAGGTCGACTCGACCGAGAAAGGACCACGCTCTCACAGAATACCAGCGTAAAATGGCAGCTTGACACTGATGTGTTTTTCGTATGGTGATTTTAGAGAACCGGAGACCCATTTTACTGGAAAAGAAGCATTTCATCTTAGTCCTTACGGGTGACGACGCATCTGCATTTTGATTCTTTATTGAGGATAAATGTAGATGTCTATGTGTTACAGCAACCACTTACCATCAGGTGGTCTGTGTGCTTGTTTGTCACCCTATCCTATAAAAAAAAGCCAGCTAACCTATCAGCTAACACAAAAAGAGCGATGTAATATGCAGGGGGCAAGAAGGCTTGCGTGAGCAGCAGCAGCAGCAGCAGTAGCAGCGGCGCGGGCTCGTGCGGCGGCAGCATCGGCAGCGGCGCCGTGTCCGCGCCCGCGCCCGCTCCCCGCTCGCCGCGCACCCCGCGCCCCGCACGCCGCACGCGTCCCCTCCCGCCACACAACTCCTCCTGCTCCTCTGACAGCGAGCGTGAGGACGGTAAGACAAATATTATATTTTTTAATGTGTATTTTTGAAGTGTAGTTTCTTTAGAATCGTTGTGATTTGAAACTCGATAAAACGAAAAAGGGACAAACAGACACATCTATAGGATTTAACGTGCGGAAGAATGAGATAGAATACAGTATACAGTGTTTCCTATTGTCTCAGTCTTCTCTTCGTGCGGTGCTTCGTAACCTCCCAACTCTTGTTTACTTTTCTGAACGTTTCACTTCTACCGCGTATGACCTGCACATGTTTTTTATGTGTATTTTTTATGTATAGGGTGCATTGGGGATTTATAGGATATTTATGGGATTACTATCGAAAGAAATTTCGAAGACTTGACGAGATTTGTACATTTTGATAATTACTTTGAGTAAGTTTAAGTTGGCAATTAAGTTAGTTGTACCTGTGTTCATTTGACTAAATGGCATTTTTATTTATGTAAAATATTCCGGATAATATGCTTATTTTTTTTAAATTACGGGTTTGAAAACTTGACTCTTATTTTTTATACAGGTTATTGCGAAATGTCTAGAGTTTTTCGATTGATTTCAAAAGGGTGTTTTAATACAAGTTACTTTAAAAATAATAATAAAAATATTGATTATAACATAGGTAGTCACATTTTTATGATATATTGCTTCGGAATAACCCCCATAAAGAAAATGTGGCTCTCAACATTTGCTAACGTTGCGGGAACGCAATATTTAATAGAAACAACAGTAGAACATATATTTATGCGGATACTTATTCAGAAAAGTTGTTTATATTCCTATAAATCAATCAGTTACTAGTTCTAAATCCAGGTTTCAGTTTTGCCGTAATTAATGTTTTACAAAAAAAATGATTAATCAATAATCAAAGAAAGTAAAAAAAAAATATAATTTGGTTGCAGTTTTGCTGACGTTCTTATAATGATTTAACAAATCACCATTATCAACAGTCTTACTCATCTTAACATCTACTTAACGGAACAGACTTTGTGCTGCTATCTAATAGAAAACCCAGTCACACTTTTGTCAATTCGGGGATCGAAACAGTCGCACTTGTGTATTAATTAAAGATTTCACGTGTTAAAGATTACTTCGATTGACACCATCTATATATTATTATACCTACATATAAATCAATTGATAATTATTTTACGAATCGAAGAATTGATAAAATATATGAATTTTGATGATTATATTAAATCTAACTATCGCCAAATTACTAAAGAACCTACTCAGGCGAAGCCAGGGCGGGGCGCTACTTATAAATAAAATTGATGTGCCTGTCTGTAATAGTCTGTCTTTTATTGAGCTGAATGAATGCTTGCTTGAATCTCATTGAGACTGGAATAAACATTTTTAAAATTATTATCTTTCTGTCTGTCCGGGCTAATCTTCAATTCTTCGGAATGGCTGAACCGATTGTAAATAAACTTCACGAATAGATAGAGAGGAATGCCAGGAGTGATGTAGGCTATATTTTATCTAAAAAATATAATAAGTATTGAGGGAGAACATCTCCAATGGTGTAGTATTGTATCAGTCATACGAGTAGGACATCCCCAATGGTGTACTGTTTTATCAATCATAGGGCACTGAATTCACCAACTCGCCGACCCATCGTGGTGAATATAGACAAATCTTTTAAGAAATACGTTATTTGTTGCAATTTTTTGAAAAACCCATATTTATACGGGGTTTCTATAGGCTGACAAAGGTATATATTTTAATTTGTTAGTCATTTGCTTTACTATTACTATAATAGGTTGTTCAGGATCTCCGAGGTTACAAAGGCGCAGACGTGCTCGCGAAAGACGTAAGGCAAGAAAATCCGGTGAAAAAGATGACACTCCTGATGAACTTGCATATATCGATTCCTTACCTGAGGTAATTCTAAAAAATATGAATTCAACTTTTGTCTTTAAATGGCCGAATTCTAATGTATTGTGTTACTTTTTCAGGATGTTCGCTTAGTAGAAGTTACGTCAAATATTTGGGGCACAAAGTTCAAAATGCACGGGCTAGCTAAAAACGTTCCTGCTAATTTGGGTCAAGTTACATATAAAACTTCCTTGCTGCACTTGCAACCTAGACAAATGACTCTAATGATCACTGAGCTAAGAGACGATTACCCAGTTGGGCCTGACCCTAATTTTAATCCAAATATATTTTCTGAGGATGAAGAGGAAGTATTTCAGTCGAACGATTCAAATTCGCCATCGCACACAAATAATAATATCCGAAGAAAATTAACAATTAACGAAAGAATGAATAATGCAAATAATTTAATAACACAGAACGAAGCATATACTGGTAATAACAATAACATCAATCCGTCTATAGCAAGAACTGAATCATATGATGAGTTTCCGTATATTGATACGAATGATGTAAACAACGTGTCAGAGAGTGTTTACTCTACTCCAGTCCGGCACACGACCCAAGCAGCTGAGAGAAGGGTAAATAACACAGCCGGTGTAGCAAGTCGTCATGCTATTTCTCCTTTACGTTGCGAAAGTTCCGTTCCTACTTTGCAGTCACCTAAAAATGCAGTTGCACCAACTGATATAATTTTTGAAAGACCTTCACCACAAACCGTCACTTGTGGAGGTCGAGGCGATTTTTGCGGTGGTCGCACAGACTACAGTGTTCGGGGCGATAACGTGTCTTTAAAAGCAAACATTTCTAATATCGACCAACAGACGTTCAACTTGAACCTTAGCATAGAGCCAAGTAGACAGGTTACCATTAAAAAGTGCGATAACCACGTTTCTGACAATTGTCTATCGAAATTGCGGAAAAATATTTGTAGTAGGGGTGAATCCGCATCCTATGAAGTTAATACTCGTATATTAAAATCTTTATGTAATAAAAATTTTGAACACGAGGTTCATCCGGACGCTATGACTAGACGCTCAGAAAATTTAAAGAATCTACAAAAAAGTGAGGATTTAAAATTCATTGATGAGGAAACTCCCATCGAAACTACAATAAAAAATTTAACCGAAAGACCCAGGGAAATGAGGGTCCAGAGAACAACCACAGTAGTACCTATCAGCCCTGTATGCGCTAGTGTGCCCGTGTACGATACAATGACACGCAGTTGTAGTGTAGGTTACTTAGATATGGTCGATCCTCAAGTCCTACGTGCGCATAGCTTGACCACACTTCGCGGCGAGCAACCGCGACGACTTGTGCTAGTGAATAACAAACGCCATAGAAAAGCGAAGCGACATTTCAGAGCGAATGACATCAGGCAAATAGAAACCAAGACGCCCAGTTTGAAAAAGTGCGGAAAATCGAGAAGCCTAGATTCTGGTGAACTCTCAATAACGGTCGAAAAGTGCAAGCGACAGTTGCGGTCTGACCCAAACCAGAAAAGCGATGCCGCGTCAGCGAATTCCAGCAGTCGGTGTAATAGTACAGCAGAGGATAACAGTGGGACTAGTACAGAGGAAGGTGGACGGATAGGTTGTAGCTCTCGCAGGGATTATCCGGTGTGCACGAACTGTCGGTTGGTATCACCGTACGACCGACGGGACGTGGAGGCGGCGTCGTACGTCTGCGCGGCCTGCAGCGCCTCGCCGCGCGCCGCGCCCGCCCCCGCACCGCCCCCGCCGCCTCCGCCGCCGCTCACCACCGACAGCGACTCCGACTACAGCAAGTATTATAGTTAGTACGATAGTAGATGCTTCTTCACCCGCCACCCCTCCCGAGATACTTCCACCGGTGGGGTACACCCGAGTCAACTCGGAACTTTGCTAGATGCGTTCTTTCTACACAAAAGTTGTGCTTTGCAAACACGCATGAATAAATGACGCCAAAACTTAAGCTACGAACGACTTAAACACTTTTGGCAAGCTTCACTAGATTCTTAATCCAAAGCAACCCTCAACACATTTGTCTGCAAACGCCTATGTAGATTAAATTGAAACAAATTAAAGAGATATTCCAGCAGGTAGTTAATCCGGAATACTGGCATGGTAATTAATAGTTATCTCTTTCTTCTAGCTTAACGCAGACAACGATAAAAAAATATTCAATTGAAGCCTTTTGATTCGGTAAAAAAAAATACTTTTTATTGCACGCTATGATTCTTCAGTAATGAGTAGGAATTGCGATAGTTCGTTAACCTGAATAATGCTTTGCTAAAATTACGTATATTGCCGAATGTACAATTTGTTGTACAATTAATATTTCAAACACTGAACTGTAGGAACCTAACAAAAAGTAACTAGATGAAGTTACAACATAACACTGAATGCTAATTTTGTTACTGTGCACTGACATTTTGTTATTTTATCATTACAGCCCTTCACAAATCCACTGCTGAACATAGGTCTTCCCCAAGGAATACCACAAAGCACGGTCCTGAACCACCTACATCCATCGACTTCCTGGGTGTCTTACCAGGCTGTCACTCCATCTGGGGGGGGGGGGGGGGGGGGGCTGCCCTATACTTCGCCTACCGATACGAGACTACCACTCAAGAACCTTTCTTCCCCATCGGTTGTCGGTTCTTCGAGCTATATGGCCGGCCCACTGCTACTTCAGCTTACTAATTTTCCATTTCGGTTACTTTTTTGGGCCATGTCGGTTACTCTTGTTCTACTGCGGATATCCTCATTTTTAAGTCTATCGCGCAGAGAAACCCCTAGCATAGCCATCTCCATAGCTCGCTGAGCAACCTTAAGCTTCCTCATGCGGCCAACATTGAAGGGCCACGTCTCAGATCCATATTTCATCACTGCCACTGGTTGTACAATCTTGTTTTCAAGTTTTGAGGTATGCCTGACGAGAAGACATGTCGTAATCTCCCGAGCTCTGCCCAGCCGAGTTAAATCCGGCGATTGACCTCTCGCTCGAAGTTGGACTTACCTGGTTGGAGGATTTGTCCCAGGTAAACATACTCGTCAACAACTTCGAGCTTAGTGCTCCCATCAACTACCGGCATAGATGTGATATGAACGTTACACATGACCTTTCTTTTGTCCATGTTCATCTTAACATATATCCGTAGGGAGACACTATTGAGGTCATTGAGCATAGTGCTTAGATCCTCCAGCGATTCTGCCATAAGGACTTTATCGTCGGCAAATTGAAGGCGAGTGATATGCTCGTCATTGATGTTGACATCGTACATGTGCCAGTCCAGTAGCTTGAAAACGTCTTCTAATGCAGGGGTGAAGAATTTCGGGGATATAACGTCACCCTGTCTTACACCTCTCTGCAATTGGATAGGTTTCGTACTCTGGTTCTGTACTCGGATAGCCATCGTAGCTCTACTGTACAAACACTTCAACACTTCGATATACCGACAGTCAACTTGGCACCGCTGAAGGGACTGCAGCACCCAAATTTCAACGGAATCAAAGGCATTCTCATAGTTTACAACGCAAGGCAAAGTGGCAGATTGTACTCTTCGGTCTTCTGTACAATTTGAAGGGTATTTATGTGGTCTTTGTTACTAAAGCCTTTTCGTAAAGCGGTTTGTTCGGGAGGCTAGAATTCATTAAGTCTGCGTACGAGATGATTAGTAATGAATACTATAGTATACCTTACTAGGCGGCGCTGTATCATGCCACAATGATTTGTGAAAGCCATTCAACAAAAGAAACATAATCGCACTATCGAAGTTTCCGAATAACTCCCGCATAACAACAGACTTTATACTACACACGGAGCGTTGGCCGCTACGCGGGCTGAACGAGGCTAGGCGAGGTGCTTAGTGAAAAACCCCCTTTTCATCGACACCCAAAATACTGACTAGTCAACGTGATGCTAAAATGCAACACAGAGATTTCAATCAGCTTACCCTCATCGTTCTCAAGAATCCTCAACTTCGCTTCCAAGGATATGTCTTCTCCTGTCAGATCCTACAAGACAGTTTTGTTTATCTTGATTTACCGCACGTAGATTCAAAAGGGGGACTGTTGGTACCTTAGTTATGAAACTCTAGTGAGAAACGTATTTACGGTCCACTTGCTGGTAAATATCAACTGGAATTTTTGGACACTTGTAGATAATTTTATAAGAAGAAGGCTACAGATGCGTTGTCACGCTTGCGGACTAAGGTGGATTACCTGGCAGCTTGTATTTATAGTGGCTCTCTTTACTTTTCAGACCGGAACATAGCAATGAAAGCACCGCGTTATATGGCGGCAGAAATAGCTTGTTGCTGATAAGCTTGGTATTAATGTTCCTAAAGTGTACAGGTTGCGTGTTTACATCATGTAAGCGTTATCAGTTTGACCAGGGTTAGAAAGGTAGAGATCTTCACTAGGAGTTCAGCCCCAGAAGCGGTCAATACTCCATTAGTAGTACAGCACTGTGCACAGTCCGACAACTATCATCTGATTAATAAATTTCCATTCACTTCCTTTTAAATGTAATGTATTTTTTTCGGTGAACGTATAAGAAGTTATTAAGGAACTTTAAAAAAAATTTGTCTTTGATAAAGATTCAGAAGCGACAAGCTAAACTACATGCGTTTTAGTTCTTTTACTATTATTTATTCTGTGGTTTTAGTGAGTTTTTGTCTCGCACAACTTCTTAGTGGAATTGGCTACTTCCATCAATTTTTCCGCCCGATACGAATTAGGGACATTCGGGAAAATAGCCTACTCTTTACAAAAGGTTGACAACGCACTTGCAATTCCCCTGGTGTTACGTTACAGTTGTCCATGGGCAGCGGTAGTCATTTGCCGCCACGCTTACTTCGAGTATCACTTACCAAAGTGAGCCGCATGGTCGTTTGCCTCCACTTATATAAAAAAGGAACTATCCCTAAAGGTAAACGCACACTATACGAGCCGAACGCGTCGAAATAAACGAATTTTTAAATTCTTTATATGAAATCATATGAAACCTCGCACACTTGTCTGCGTCACCAGATTCAACGCGGACGATGCGGTTGAATCGAATCTCAATCGACCGATGCGCTGGCATTCTGACAGTTGCGTGGGACAGAGCAACGTGTGTGTACTATTTTTTTTTTTTGGAACGAAGTTCCTTCTCGCGCGGTATGAATTTGGCAAATAGGGCTAGACGATGAAAAGGTGTAAGATTTTTCCGTCACGACCCTTTCTATAGTGCAAGCGAGATGGATTAATATCCATCCCTCTCGCACTTTTTCTTTCTTATCTTGCCATGAAAGAAATATTATTTTATTTTAAATGACGCTTCATTTTAATAGACGCTACTAAATCATTTATTTGTATTTGTTAATCCCGTCTCACTCCGCGCTTTAGGCATGAAAATATACCTACGCTGCGCGGCCCCGCCTATGGGTCTAATTCTGTGAGGTTGTCACGCGCCCTACTAACTATTTTTCTCTAATAAGTAATTTGGCACTTTTGATATTTATTTTTGAGTTTTTATTCAAGTATGGCCTATTGAAAAGCCAAAAGGTACTGCATAGCATACGGGTGCTTAACTAACAATAGAAATGTCGACTTTTACTTCTTTACTGTTCCTAAGGATACCTTTCGGTATCCTTAGGAACATATTATTATTATATAACATATTATTATATATAATATATATATAATATATTATTATTTATTATTATTGATCTAGATAATTAGGTACTTAGTTACTGACGCCATAGTTATAGATTTATTATTTGATTAGTGACCCGACCGACAGCTTCGCAATTTTCGATTTTTTCGCGTATAATGCCAATGACCTTAAAAATTAGTAGTAAGTAGACTTCCCAGTATTAGTGACTGCTTACTATTGTAAGATCAGCATATACTGGTAATATGTTTTTACACTTGGTCGATAAAAGAAAGATATTGAAAGTAGCTAATTGTCACTCTTTCATTAATAATGAAGTCGCGTGTCGCAAGTTTGTAAATAGCAAAAAATGTGAAACAGAAAGTGACGGCTTCGTGGTGCAGTGGCTTAGTAATGAGTTGCAGCACTAAGGGCATCGGGCTCGAATCATGTACGGAACAAGTATTTGTATGGCCTACAAATAATTGTTCGGGGTGTGTTCTATGTATGTAAACTGTCCCTGCGATACAGAAGAAAATCCTAGTGAGGAGGTAACGTTTTTTAAAAAGATAGAAAGAGGAACAACTAATGAAATTAAAAATTTTGTACAACCGACTTCAATATTAATACGCTTTATTAAGGATAACTCCAAAACTACTGGTCAAGCTTATATGTGTATAAATTATAAGCACCAGCTTTCAAATAAAATAGAATCATCAAAATCGATTCACCTAGAAGAAAGTTCTGAGATAACACACAAAAAATACAGTCGAATTGAGTACCTCCTCCTTTTTTGAAGTCGGTTAAAAATTGTAAGTAGGCAAATTATCTGAGTTTCAAAGACGTTTACATTGTTTTAATCTTAATTTTCCTGGATGTTGCATTAACCTTAACCTTCCTCACATTGAACAATAAATTTTTTATTATCGGCAGATTGATGGTTCCGTGGCGCAGTGACTTAGCAATGACTTGCAACGCTGGGGCCGAGGTTTCTAAACCCACACGGAATAAGTATTTCTATGGCCTACAAATAATTGTGATTGTGCAATTTATGTTTATTAACTGCCTCTACGATACGGGAAGAAAATCCTAGTGTGGGTGTAACGTTTATTTACTACGTTGTATTAGACGGGGTAGAGCCATATAACATAAAAGAAATACTAATACATTGAATAACACCTCGGTATATTCTACTGTATACCAGCTAATATCAAAGGATTCAATTTGCTTTCTCACAACACCTAACCCTACAGTAAAATCATTCTTAACAAAGGCGCGTAACGGGATAAATAATACAGACACTCGCACGCAGACATAAGGTGCATTTTGATTTAATACGCGCGCCGTATTAATTTTTGTTTCGACGTAGGCTAATTTCTCGAAGGTCACTTCCGAGGCGTGTAAAGTATTATGAACATTAGCGACGTTGTAACTAGGTTTAAACTCGCAAGTTTGCTATTAGAGAGTGAACCTTCTGTTCTTGTATTATTATTTATTCTGTGATAATATACTTCGTTCCAACCGAGTGTTCCACGACATTCACGCATGTTTTTTTTTTCTAAATGAGTAATTCTAATTTAAATAATAAGTACTTTCTTCATCTTCTATTAATAATGCACTGGCAATAAAAACTTGTCAGGATTTACCACAATTCACATGTAATTGCAGTGCAACTGTGGGACAGATGTAAAGTAAATTGAAATGTCTTTTTTCGACGCGGTCGTTGTTTATGTGTGCGAAGCGCCCTTGACTTCGATTCGTTCGATGCGTTCGGCTCGGATAAGTGTGTGTTTATCTTTACACAAACATTTTAGCTTAGTTTGGGTCTATTAACTAATCTGTGGTTTGGGATACAACACAACGCACTGCCTGGCTAGTGTGGCTTCGCTGTAAAGCACTTTTAAATAGCAATTATTCACCAAATGGCAAGATGATAGTGTAGACAGATCGAAATCGAAATGTACTGGCACATTTCTTCTTTACATCTCTTCTTACAAAGAATTCACGGGTTGGCCGTACGGCAGGTTCGCTGGAGCAGCTGGCGCTGCGGCTGCTGGCGGCGCGCGGTGCGCGGGGCGCGCGGGGGGAGCGGGGCGCGCGGGAGACGCGGGAGGCGCGCGAGGTGAGCTCGGCGCCGGCGTCGCCGCGGCCGGCCCGCGCGCCCCGCTCGCAGCCCGCCTCGCCCGGCCCCTCCTCGCCCGCGCACCCCCGCCGACACCGCTACTCCTCTGCCTCGCCCATACGGTAATTATAAATAATTATTAAATTACCCGCACTTCTTAATAAACTACCACGTGCCAGCGCATTCTTTATCTTTATAGGAATCAACCGGTTATCGATAAGTGATACACCGCACGCGCCTGTCCCTAGCGCACCAATAATTTATGGCACCGCGGGTAGCGAGTATTTGAAATTATTATAATCATGGCTATTTTATTTAAGGGAGGTGGAGTACTTACCTCGCGAGGTACTCACGAGCTCATTTAAGGCAAGGAATCGCGCAAACGTATTCATCTCACAAGGCGAGTCAACTCTTTCCGAAAGAGTTTTTTCGAAAGGCGCCATTAGTAAACGTAAAAATAAAATTTGTGATCACTGGTTGCGTCCAGTGAACGCAAAATCAGGTGATTAAAAAGTCCACATGATTTTATTTTCGCACGCAAATATGTGATTTGATTGTTTCATAATCAATTGTCTTCTAACTTTTCTTTATTATTTTATTAACATTCTTTCTCAACATCCAGACCTTACTCAGATAATACTTGAACTATTTTTATTCATACAAAGTCAATTAGTATCGTGTAGTAACAGTGCTGGAATATCCACTACCGCATATCACATGATCTCATTACGCCCAGGGTTGTGTAAAAGAGGATGCCTTAGGCTAAAGTCCGACCTTTATAACCCTTATGTTAAAATATAAATAATTTGATAAATATAAATAATTTTATAAATACGTCCCGTGGGTGTCGTAAAAGGCGACAGAGGAAAATAAATCAGGAGTATTGCCAGCAATGTCTTCCTAATTGCAACAAAAGAAACTGCCATTGCCAACCCGCATTGCCAAGTGTGGCAACTATACTAAATATTCCCCTATAAGGCCTTTGTTCAACAGTGGACTTTTGATAAGATATAACAATAACGGTAACGAACATCACGATGAGGCCGCCAGCGTTGAAGTTAATTTTATACGTGCTACCCAATACCCATACTGCAGCTATATTATGACTGTAGCACATGCACTCACGTACATATGGTTGTAGCAGCTTAATGCTGCTGTGTTTCGTATGGTGAGTGCAGAAATCCGGAGACCCTTTTTAATGAAATTGAGGCATTCTATCCTAGTAGTCAGGGGTGACAAAGCATATTCATTTTGGGTCTTAATCAAGTATATACATACTGTACTGTACTATACATACATAGGCCACAAGCATCCATTTACAATTAAGTAGACTGTATGATTGTTTGTCAACCAAGTCTATGTAATATTTATAGTGTAATAGTGTTTACTGCTGTAACAGTGTTGCCTCAGACACAGTGCTTTTATTCTGTCGATGCCTCATATTTACCGAGCAGTTGTCAAGATTGGAGATAAATAAAACTTCCAGATACGAAACAATTATTTGTAGACAACACAAATACTTGTTTATTGCGGAAATCGAACTGTGGTCCACAGCCCTACAGCCAAATGTTTGGCCACTTCGCGAGCAAGCTGTCAAATATTGATAATGGTTTGTAAGAGAAAATGTAACCACATCTGCTGCTGGTCCACCGTGCTATTATAGGACGAGGCTCTGGTGCCCGACAAAGATAGTTCAAAATACTAATCGCAATCCAGCGGACTAACGATAAGGAGAGGCATTTTCATCAAGCGTGGAGAGTAGGACAAACAAACAAAAAAGTATCCTATAGACAAATCTTTCAAGAAATGTATTATTTGACTCATTCTTTAAAAGACTTTTATAATCAGTAGTGGATTGCAAACACTAACAAAGAAAAAAAAGAAGAAGTAAATGTACCTACATTAAAAAATTATTCCTCACAAAGCAATGCCTTGTTAATTTAATAAGCAGGCGCTGCCAAAGTTTTAAAATGTAAAAGTCAAGTTGTAAAATGTAGTGTTTTAACTATTTGCGACGATTGTTCGTTCAGATAAAACCCTGTATTATATATTCTCTGCAGACAACTGTTAAACTCGCCCCTTCTAAATCGACGACGGAACAAGAAACCTTCGGAAAGCTCGGACGATGAGTACTCCAACAGCGGCTACAGCGAGGTCAATAGCAAGAACTACAGAGACTTGGAGAGTTTCCAAAAGGCTCAACTCAGAAACAAGGTATTGAAACAATTTATTGAACCATACTAGGTATATATATTTTACATCTCTGAATTTTTATATGCTTACACATTATACATATAGAGTTCGTAATGTACAGAAAAAGAACAAATAGGTAACTAACCGAACATTTAAGAGAGGTGTGTTGTGTTTAATAGCTTTTTCGTTAAGGGGCTACTCCATGCGAACGACCTTGAGCATTTAGTCCGCCGCGCCGACTCGCTACAATATATTGCGTAAAAAATATGTAAGACGCCGACGCCACCAACTGTACGAACGTAGTATTATTTTTTCAACATCAATAAACTATTTTATGGAAATACACACAGCGTACAACGATAAATGTATTTTTATTTATTTATTCGGTATATTAATTGCATTATATTAGAATTATGCATTCTCATATATTATCTAATTATGAAATTTCATAATTAATTATATATTAAAAATGAAGCATTGAAAATTGTGAGTTTAAAAGATACCTACTCACTATAGGTAAATAGATAGATAGCTCGCCTTTTGTACAAATATTTGGTGCAATAAAGAATAAATAAATAAATAGGATGTTTCGCAGATGTGTTTTTGATTATTGTTAATTTTTACGTGTCACGTATTGAAAAGTATCATACCTACCTTCTAATTTTTGAATTGAGCACCTTGTAACTTAGCCTGCTTATTACTTATGCTGGCTGACATTATCCCCCCAATGATTGATGAGGATGAAAATCAATTTTATTTCTACATACGTAATTATATTTATTTATACATTAGAGTAACATTAATAAAGGTAATACAAAAATCAACAAGAAGTATAAGGGTTCAATCTTTCAATTTCAATTTTAAAAAAACGTTACCAGAACACTAGGATTTTCTCCTGTGTCGTGGAGGCAGTTTACAAACATAAATTGCACAAGGACAAACATCCAGACCCGGAATAATTATTTGTAGGCCATACAAATACTTGTTCCGTGCGGGATTCGAACCCGCGGCCCCCAGCGCCACAACTGATTGCAAAGCTACTGCGCCACGGAGTCGTCGCCGGGTTATAGCTACAGTGACCATACGTCCCGTTTTGAACAGGACTGTCCCTTTTCTCGGTCACCTGTCCCATTGTCCCCAAACATAGATCCGGGACACAAAATTGTCCCGTAACTCGTTGGATGGAAGTATTCAAAGTCAACAATCTTCAACATATTTTTTTTTAATCGAATATATTTTATGTCTATCTGGTACAAATGCTCCAGTAGAAAGAGTATTTTTCTATCTTGAATAAATTGTGGACGTCTGAAAAATACACTTACGGTTCCAGTTCTAAAGGCGATGTTGTTAACAAAGGTAACAATAAAAAAAACTTGACCAGAATTTTATTCTTATTTAAAATCATCACCAACTTTATATAGCAAATTTAATCCACTGACAAATGTAATTAATAATTTTAAAAAAAATATTCACTTACTTACTTATCTTCACGCACAATCCCTGACGGGGTAGCCAGAGAGAACAGATCGCCAAGTTTCACGATCCTTACATACCTCTTTCGCTTCTTTCAGATTCATTATCTTCTTCATGCATGCACGTCTAAGTATCCGAGTACTTTTGACCCTACCCTCTTCGAGCAATTTGCTCACATGGTCTTCGAAAGTTAGTCTCGGTCTACCTCGACACCTTTTAATATTAACTTTCGCGCTATATATTTTCTTCACCATTCGGTCTTCACTCATTCGCTCAACGTGCCCAAACCACCGAAGCACGCCCTTATCAATTTTTGTGATAAGGTCATCTTTCAAACCTGCCATATTGCGAATCTCTTCGTTTCGCTTTCGGTCGGCCATGGTAACGCCGCACATTTTACGAAGAGATCGCATCTCCACTGCATTCAACTTACTTTTATGCTTCTTCTGGCATACCCAGGTTTCGCTGCCATATAACAAAGTCGGTACCAACACTGCGTTATGTATTGCAAGGCGTGCACTCTTCGCTACGCCTTGCCTTTTGACTAACGCAGCCAGGGCACCATTGACTTTGTTCCCGGCAGCGACACGCCTGTCCACATCTAAATCACATCTTCCATCCCGGCTAAAAGCACTCCCCAAGTATACAATTTCATTTAAAAAAAAATATGTTGCATTTAATAATTACCGTCTATACCGAATATAATTTTATAGTGAACACTAATTGTATAAAGTTATAGTTTTTAGAGTATAATAAAAAAACCCATGCCTCTTTTGAGTTAAAAAATAAATGGTCAGTTTAGTTTTTTTTTAGTTAAATTTAGTTTTAAAATTTTTTAGTTTATAGTAAAAAGTAGGTATATTAATACCAACTTAGATACTTTTTACCGAATTAGGGTGGATGCCCCTAATACCAGTCATGCCCCTAATTCCAGTCTTTTCGCCTTTTTACTCCATAAATAAGATTTCTAGTAGTTTTTAACTACAAATATTGTCATCTAAAAAATTCTTTGTACCTAGAGGAAAGTATACTCGTATTTATTCAAATATTACCTCGCAGTTCTAAACCTAACAGTGTTAAATTAAAAATCAAAACACGTACGCAACGAAAAACGATCATTTTCCTAATTATTTGACAAGTTATGATCCCGGTAAAATTATGCCTACTTTACATTATCTCATATATAGGCTTTTTGATTTGTATGAATATGACTATATAAGTACATAGTAATGCAGTTATTTTTGTTTGAATTTACAAGTTATTTATTTTCTTTTAGTGGAAATTAATGGGGCTGTAATTAGATATAAGAAATGTATGGAGTGCATAATGTCAGCCGCCCGGCTGTTATTTGGTTTGTCGTACCTAATAAAAAGTAGGTACCTAATTTCAGCCACGTAATATAAATCAGGGCTTTAATTAGATCATAACTTATTTTATAGCTAAGGGAGTTATAATCAATTCGTCTGTTTTAAAATTGGTTTTAGAATTTAAAGTTTAGCAAAAGATTTACTAGCTTTTCTCTCTGACATTCGGCGTATATTAAGAACACCTTATGTACTCAATTATTTTTTGAAAAAGAAGAAAATAACAAGCAATAAATAATGTACTATATTTTAGCAAAAAACTATAACTTAATAATACTAATTATAACTTAGAACATAAATGAAAAACTTTTTGGCCCGACCCGGGACCTCATGATCAGTACTCGCACTACTACAACCACTAGACCAACGAGGCAGCACTATACCTAATAAGATATTGTGGTTAGGTATTAGGATTATTTTTAACTGTATACTATACTGATAATATTGAATTAGCCTTTTATAGTGTAAATTATAATATTTGTCGAAATGTTAATTATGGATTCGAACCTTACATGCTAATGGTGCTTCATTTTTTTATTTTTGCGGACTTCACAGATTTCTTTTTAACTAATAATATTCTGAAAGTTGCCTTGTCATTTTGTTCTATTCGACCTCGACATGACCATTAAAGGTCGACTGTTCACATGTTGATAGAATAAACTAAAATTTATACATTAGGGTTCTATTACATAATACAATAAGTACATTATTTCGATTAACATAGTATTTTGAAATTCTGATGTTTTTCCGTTATATAGTTTCGTATATTAGTTAACCTGCGAAATTCTACACAAAATGAGCTTACGCAATATTTTTAATGTGCGTGTGGTGGTGCAGTGGCGGGTTTAGCTTTGGAGTTAATTTTAGCAATTCAAGCTAATAGTAGCATCCAGCAATCATCTCTATGGAAATTAGTATGTTATTTAATTTCAAAAGGATGATCCACGAATCATTGATATTTTTGTTTGGCTTATGTGTAAGAGATACCACTTTCAGAATCCTAGTGTATAGTAGCGACTAGCCTCTATCTTTTAGGAGCTTCAAGGAAACAAAGTCAAAACATCTTAGTCCGAAGGGAATGTATTAATGGGTTATAAAATTTTTTATGAGATGGCGCCGTAAAATAATCCTTTAACCCATTTCGTCCCGTGGCTATCGTAACAGGCGACTAAAGGAAATGCTTAACATATCTTAAGACTTTTGACAGACGGTCGAACAACCGTCTCGTTTACGCCAGGTCACAGAATAAATACTAGTACTAACGTACAGCAGTTGCACTCTTTTGATGTTTACACCTTGCGACGTTTTAATAGTCTACATAGTTATTATTAATCAGATAAATCGCGCACGCAAGCTAAATAAAACTTTATCGCTGCGCGCGAGGGTCCGTATTACTTTGCATCTCTTATCCTTACTACGTTACAACGGACTTTCCGTGGTTGCTAAGGGCTGTTAATAAAGAGTAAAAAAATACATTGTGAAATGGTAAGTTACTCAGGTAAAGTACCTGTGGCGGCGCTGTCGTCGCGCCACAAGCGAAACACATCGAAGCCTAAACCGCGCTAACAAAGTTCCGAAATTAAAGCAATATATTATATAGAATAGCTCCGAATTACCAATCGGCAATCGGAGCGTTAGCCGCTCCCCGGGCAGCACACCTTGCCCGGCGGGAGATCTCCCCTTTTCCTTCTATCCGCCACATACCTATGCTGACTATAATCGACCATATTACCTACTATGTGAGTTCTGTGATGCCCAACGCAACTTGCCACTTGCAAGGCCATTCGTCGGGAAAATAAACCCGAAAAACGATCCCTAACAGAAATATGATTGTAATCTCTACTTAGTTTAAAATCTTGTAAACAAAGTTTTAATTTCAGTATTTTGTGCTATTATAACTTAAAATATTTTAATTACAAAGATGAGTATAGGTATGTAAGTAGGTACTTGGGTAGTAAAGTAAATTTCAACTAAGTTTTGTAATAAAGTACTTAGGTATTACTTCTGTAGTTAAATTATTACTTAATTATTCGCTACTTATAAGTAACTATCTTACAAAAATGAAATAAATTTACCCTTCATTATCCTTTGGTAACTCAAAAAATGATATATCTGAATCCTTTTAATTGCTCATTAAGCATCCATCCCCGCAACAATTGTAGTATATAGGAACGATGTTTTGCCATTATAATTTATCAAATAGATAGGTAATATACATATATATTATTCTTAAATTACATTAAAACTTTTTCAACTATTTTATCCTACAATTAAATATACTAAACACTAAACAAAAACTATTTCGACGAATATTTCAACAAGTATTTACAAAAAATTATTTACGTAAACAGCGTTAAAAAAACTTTAACATTCAATAGCCTAGAGCGCGCTAGCCCCGACTGCGATCTACCCCTGGGGCAGCTCTGTAGGTAATTATTTCACGCAGGTAGCAAGAGTGACAGAGGCCTGGCCAGGCGTAAAATATAACCAGATCGGCGGGGGCCGCAGCATCAAAAGTGCGAAACTGCGAGACCTATGTACCTTCCTACTGCGTTCGTCAATTCGCCTGATAAGGGTGACGATTAAGCTCCACATTTAGAGGCTTATGTAAATAACATGTTTACTATTAAGAAAGCGTTTATTGAGCGTATTTCGGCGATGCGCGTCTGGTTTATTTACAAAATTGCAAAATGCTCGCGTCTAAGGCTGGGTTTACACTACAAGTGTATTTATTGTGATTGTTCCTCATGTGGATCAGCTGAAGCGCGCGGGTGGTGTGGGTGGTGTCGGTGCGGGGGGTGCGGGGGGCGCGGCGGCAGTTCCGTGGGGCGAGGCGCGCGGAAGCCCACACGCGCGCCGCCAGCTGCTCATGCACAACAAGGCGCCAATGTGGAACGAGAACAGCCAGGTCTACCAGCTCGATTTCGGCGGCCGCGTCACGCAGGAGTCCGCCAAGAACTTCCAGATAGAATACCATGGAAAACAGGTGACGATTCACAGGCTCAAAGCCAGATGTCATTTAAATTGATATTATATTATCCTAATATATAAACAACCTGATTTTGTAATAATTATTATAAAATGTTTTAGATATTCACCAGGATTGTTAATTGTTTATGGCGCAAGCTGCACCAATTTATTAATATTTGGTATATTAGTTTCTTCTAGTTTTATAAACCTACTTGCCTAATGTTGTTTTAGAAATCTTCAGAAACTTTAAATTTTTAAACTACAAAGAGCTGTGATAAAGCGTGCATTTCCCTATTACGACTTGTGTTCCCGAGTTCCCGTAGCCTCGACAGGAGTAATAAATAACGTTATCCCATTCATCTAGCCCCATTCAATGAAAAGTCCATGAAGATTCCGTCATGAAATTATTATAGCTAAAAACACACGACATAAATTAACATGAATTACATGAAAACTATTTTATATTGCTTCAAATTAATATTATCGATTTCTTATATCTATCGTGAACCGATTCTTTTTTTTTTTTGAAAGCTAACGCTTCTCATGTGGTCCCATATAAATTTGATCAAAATTTGACTAGTAGTTTTTGAGTTATCCTTAATAATTCGTATTTAATTTACTTCGACTGCATTGACAATTATCTCATTTTATTTTATTACTTGTGGATGTAAAATGAACAACAATAAAAAAAATAACTGTAAATGGTGGTTCAGAGCATCGTAGTATTTCGAGGTGCTCCCATTTTAATTAGGTGATGTTCTGATGAAGACCTTCAGTGAAATACATCGGAACTGTTCAATAAATCACAGCAAATCTGCCGTGATTGCTACAATCACATGTACTTATATTTATTGTTGATACAATTCCAAATTGGTTTTTGATAGTATTTAATAGTATAGGGTGATGTGCAACTGTAAAACTCAACAAGATACACACTAAAAAGCTAAAAACAAAATTATTTCTGTAACACGACTTATGATCTGACGATGAAGCCATTAGGCACCGGAACTCCGGAACTAAACATAGCATCCTAGCCGTATTTGGAATTATCATGATGAAAATTATTTGAACGGTAAATCCCGCATTCCAATTGCGCTACTTGAGGTGTATTATGTGTGTTCTTGATAGTCGGAAGACAGATTTCGTAGCCTCGTCATTTCGGTCAACGACCTGTCGTCGTGTGGTTTATTTAATAATTTGTTGGCGTCCATATCTGATAAAGCTATACCTTCCAAACTTATGACACGACTTAGTGCAAGATATATTTGCCCTTTTACAAAGTTTTTCTTTCTAAGGTCGATCACAGCTCTTTCGAGGGTCGTACCCTGTAGTTTGTGGACTGTAACCGCTCAGTTTAATATTAGAGGCAGCATACGGCGCTCCACATCTCCGTAACCCCTAACTGCCTGAAACGTAGTACTTGATGGAGGTATGGGTATGCAACCATTACTATCTTTTAGCCTGCGACCAATCGTCTATATTATGGAGCATACCTGTTGATTCGATGTAAATGGTGCTCAATGAATTATGGACTGGTAATGGTAACTGAAAATGGGTTGATTTTACCGGAACTGTTTTTTGGATAGACTGAATGACTTGTGTTGTTGTTTGGAGGAGATTACTAGTTTATATTATCGGTTGGAGGTAATCGTTTGGTGTAAATGTTGGACTCTCTATCCTTACTATTGTCGATTGTTCCAATATGAGCGTAATCGATTTTATTTGGGAGTCTGGAGCTATAACTAATGATGTTAACGAGAATACAATAAGATTATCTCGAAAGTTTCCTGCTGGCACTTTTTTTGGCGACACAAATAAATTGTGACGTAACATGGCATGCAAATCGTCCAGTTCACTAAATCGCATGCAAAAAGCGGTACCATTTATGGGAGCGGAAGCTCCCTTGGTACCACGTGCATGGGAATGAAACAAAAAGTAAGTTTGATTGGCACCTAAAGTTCTGCAATCGAGATGGCGTTTGATGTAAGTATCCCATTGTAGTGTTCTCTGAAAAAACTTAATAATGCGTTTTTTAAGTTAGGGATCCTTCGGAAGTGTTGTCATTCTCTATGTGACCATTATGATTGGTTTCCTCAAGTACTGTGATCACTAAATTTTGTCTATTATATGTAAGTCTTACACTAGGATCTGTTACAGCAAGGTACTCAGGGTTTACTTCGCCGGGCGCAGGATTATCTCCAGCAGCGATGCAGTCATTGTAGTAATTATCGCCAATATTTACAATGTAACCGATATCACTTTTGGCCTACTTGTTTGGTATATTTAATACACTAAATGCTGCACAAGCAACAGCCGCTACCCCAGCACAGTGCTTATCCAGAGATAAATTAAATTGTAAATCACCTTGATTAAATGATCCGCGTAATATATTGCCTTTTTGTCATTTAGAGAGACATAATGTTGTGAGGAAGTTTCAGAAGCAACACCATCCTGTTCAAGAATAGAATTCTCAGCTATTTGTAATATATGAGGAATGTTTAAGGCAGGTAGTTTCAAAATGCACCTGAACATCTCTGTAAAGATGGTTATTGGAAATTATCCAAGTTAATGCTCGATTCAGCCTTTGCATATCCACGACGAATTCTTTAGAAAATTAAAGGTTCTCGAGACTTTCCACTACCAAAACTAAACCAACTAGGATGATGTCAGTGGTAACTGTTCAACTATTTTCACATACTTTGAAAATAAAATGACCTTCCCTTTACACCAATTTTGACTAAAATGGTTATTAAGTTTAACAATCTTTAAAAACGGTACGATGCGACTTAAAAATTGTTCTTCAACGCTCATCTAGTTGGCTAATTCAGGCAGTACTTCTGCGGTCATAATTTTCTTCCAATATGCATTTGCTGGAATTTTTCTTTTCCTTATATTATTATTATATCGAGAGCATGTAGATTTTGTTACCTAAAGCAATCAGTTCTTCCGGTAATAGTGTACTATACTCGTACATATTATATTCTCGTAAATTGGAACGCTGTTGTGTATAAAGACTTTTTTTTTACAAACGGCGCATGGTATATCAGCAAAAGTATTAATAGCCGCTTCAAAAAATTGTTCATTTGCGATGTCCCTACAACCTTGACTGACTTGTCGCATTATAATAAGTCGAACTGAACGAGTTTCAGGTGTTTCGCTTGACAAGCGATCGTGAATCAATCCGAATCGGTGGGCACTTTGCTCCTCCGTCTCATTGGATAGACGATCATGGATCAAGCCGAGACGTTGGGCACGTTATTCTTTCGTCTCATTCGATAGACGATTGTGGATCACGCCGAGGCGGGTGGGCACGTTGCTCTTCCGTCTCATTCGATAGACGATCGTGGATCACGCCGAGGCGGTGGGCACGTTGCTCTTCCGTCTCATTCGATAGACGATCGTGGATCACGCCGAGGCGGTGGGCGTTGCTCTTCCGTCTCATTCGATAGACGACCGTGGATCACGCCGAAGCGGGTGGGCACGTTGCTCTTCTCTCATTCGACAGGCGATCGTGGATCAAGCCGAGACGGAGATTACGGTTTTCGATATTTTCCCTGTTCAAAACTTTTTGCATGTAAGCTCGCCTTATCGAAAGTTTTTGCGCTCTTCACAAGTCTCTTTTGAAATGGCCCTAGAGGTAGATTTCCTCTTTTGATATAGGTGTTTCTCCCTTTCTTCGTTTGTCTCATTTAAACGGTACTGTCTCGTATGAACAGCGCTTTTAGTAGGTCTAACAATATTCAGACAAATAAAATCAGTTATCAAACTTCAGATTCACTTAAAACTGAGAAATAAACAAAAATTTTAACAACATAGGAAACCGACTTTAAATCAAAATATTTTAAAACAAAAAATGCACTAAAAAGTAAAAAAAATAATTGCGTATTCTTGTGTCTAGAACTTAATCAATCAAATTATTATTTCTACTCAATGTACGATCTATATGTTTACCGCGCAAGAAGATAGGTATATACCGACTTAAAACTTCACATCTAACTCAACACATACCTATGACTAACAAACAATTATCAAAATATTTTTTCGTTTACTTACTTATTATAAGTCAGTGCTTGACCACAATCCCACCTGGTGGTAAGTGGTGATACAGCCTTAGATGGTAAATCGCACTGTCTTAGCGTAATAAAAGCCTATTCACTCTTGTCTTGAAGACGCCCAGATTGTATTCGGACGGAAAGATAGACGCCGGCAAATTATTCCACTCCTTTGCTGTACGCATTACAAAAGACGAAGCAAACCCTTTGGTTCTAATGCATGGAATATCAACAACAAAGGGGTGAAGTCACGCAGACCGCCTAGTTGTCCGATGGTGGAAAGGAGAGGGAGGAATTAAAGCATGTAATTCCTGCGCACACTCACCGAAATGCATGCTACAGAATACCAAGAGACTGGCTACTAACTACTAAATAATACTAAATTTAGAGTTCAACTAAGAAAAAATTTTCAAATATATGTGTAGACTGTTTAAAAGACAATGAAATTATTAGGATATATATAATGTACAATTATTATTATTGTCATTTTTGGAGTTATGTATGCTAGAGCAACAGCAAAACTTACATTATGCTTTGATAGCAGTCTATCATAGATAATAAACATATAGTCACATAACAGTCTATCAAAATTCAAAACGTACTGCGCAAAAATTTTGTGGCAAAAATAGACTTCTATCTCTTCTAAAATGATACCACTTTTCGTGATACATATGCATTCTGGATAGTTTTTTTTTTTCAATCTGCGTTTATAAGCCTTTCAGTATTCACCATCTCATTGCTAACTTAATATTAATGTATACATATTAACAATAATATTAAATATTATTGTGATGTTTTTATGCCCAGGTAATGCAGTTCGGGCGCATCGATGGAAACGCGTACACTTTGGACTTCCAGTATCCGTTCTCAGCCCTTCAAGCGTTCGCGGTAGCACTGGCAAACGTCACGCAGCGATTAAAATAAGCTTGTAAATGAACATGATAATGATACATACAGGAAGAAGAGGAAAGCAACTTCCTGCTGGCGTCCTTGCATTTATTTACTTTTCAATTATTATTTTTTAATAATTTCATTCTGTGCGAAAAAAATAAGATATTCAAATTTGCTTAGTAATTTAATTTGTTTAATGAATCGTTACGTTTACCATTATATTATAAATTAATTATAGCGCCGCTGGAAGTTTATTATTAATCTATTAGATGTAACATTACTGAAAATATGCTTTATAGTCATACTGAACGACTACCACCCATCCAAAATATTTTTACACAAACTTTAGATAGGTAACTTTGTAAGAATTCAATTTCAAAGGCGTCTCAATGCCGGACGGTCTAATACCACTAACTTGTCATTGGGTCCATCGTTATTTACAAATGATGTGTGTTAAAATACTCAAAATCCCATCTTATTCACATATAGGTAGACATAATTTTAGCTACAAATGTTGAATATTTTCACAATAGACTCTAATAGATGGAAATAGACTGTAAGATCACGTTAAACTATGTGGCTATAGAACTTGAGCACACGCTGGTTTTGATCTTTTTAAATTAAAAAGTTTTGTCTCAACAACTGATCTACGTACGTAGTACTTAAAACTCAGTGATCTTAACTTTTTGTTTTTATAAATATATACCTACCCTGTTTCCGCATTTGTGATTAAATGTGATAAAGTAACCAATAGCAAAAAGATGTAATAATTTCTCCCAGTTTATTGCAGTAGGTAACAATATTTTGTTAGCTTTGCAATGTCGTAATTTTTATATGTAAAAAAAAATTGTGTTAGTTAAAATTTGTTTGCGCACTACCAACACTTTCTAAGAGTATGTGCTCTTCTTTTACTGTCATGAACAAAGCATTGCGGCACTAGTGTTGAAGCGTGTAAGCTGTCTGCGTATATCAAACTAACACATTCACAAAACATAAAAGAGACTCCACGTAGAGTAATTTTAACATAGTCTTTCTGTTATATCTGGGAGTTAATAATATATTCACTTGATACATTTTGACGCACAAATGAGTCTCATACGTTTTTGGTGAAAACCAGCAATCGAGGCAAGGTTTTATGGCTCCGCTACACTATGCTACTCGCACTTCTCACTGCTGTGCTCCTCGCGCTGCCACGATGTTGCCCTCTCTGCCCACACACTGCTCTACTCGCGCAATTAATCGCGACGCTCCACACTAGTTTGCTTACATTTGCAACACCTTGCGCGGTTTTCCATACGCCGGTACGTCGCAGGAGCCGGCAACGACACGGTGGGAAGATTTGAAACTGGCTTCGTTTTTCATTTCAACATCCATTGTGTTGCAAACGCGAGTAATCTAGTGCGGAGCGCCGCGATTAATTGCGCGGGCATAGAGGGCAAAATCGCGGCAGCGCGAGGAGCATAGTGTGGCTGAGCCATTATTCTTGGTAGATCAAACTGTAGCGTGTTATATTATAGTATAATATATTACGCTACAGTCAGGTTTACGGTGCATAAAAAACAGCATAATCGGTTCTATTAGGTACTACAGTGGGCATTCCAAATTACTGCTCAGATGTGACACGTATCTGGACCTTGATTCTTAGGCAGCTATTACAATAGATACCGTAATATGTATTTGAACATATATTTATGATTCATAAAACATACGAGGAAACTATGACAGTTTATTGTGTACATATTTTTCTCATATTTCTAGGTCTCTTTACGGGTATATATAATAGGTGCCTATAGGCTACATCCACTTACGATCAGGTGGACTACGTGCTTGTTTGCCACCCTTATTTTCTAAAAAAACAACAATGTACACGATTTTATTAGTGCCGATATGCTTTGTCTTATTTGTAACGTTATAAATAAAATATATGTATATGCCGAAAGTATATTGGCATAAATATAGAAATAAATACATAATTTAAAATTAGATCTTCTAAATGTTGTTATGATATTACAAGAAATAGTGGCCTTTTACTGTTGAACTCTTACAAGAATTTTTCGTGAATGTAGGCCACCAGAGACTGCTGTATGTATCGTATGTGTAAAGTACTGACTGTTAATCTATAGTTGATGATCATTTTGGTTTTATAAAACAGTTAGGTATGCCTTTCCTTTTGTTACAAATATATTTTCATCTTTTTTTATTTAATTTGAAAATGCTAAGATCATATTGCACGTTTTTATAAATTTATTTTTTAAAACTTTAGATAGTTAAGAGAATAAACATAGAGTTCTTAATAGGTGTCTGTTTTAGGCAAAATTATGGAAACTGTAATAAAACTACCGCTGATAAAATTGATAGGCATTTGCCGCATGTAGCAGTAATATAATTTCTAAGGAGCACACACTTATGAATTGCGAAGGTGAGTATCAAGTAGGCGTAAATTCTTTGCGATGCTTTGGAATACCGCGGCATCTGCTATTATCTATCGACATGTTGCCAGTCGCTCGGGTTTCATTCTGCTTGCGCTTAAACAGTCGCAGTTGCTTTTAGGGAAATTTGTTAAAAAATAGTACATTGAGATTGGATGCTAATATCGATTCTCGCCGAAGACGATAACTGGCACTTGGTAATTTGATAAAACAATTTATAGAAGATACCGGTGCGTACTGATGCAAGCCAACGGATCACTGTACCTATTTACCTACCAGCGGCTCTAGCGCGGTCGTCTGTCTAAGTAACGAGAAGTCTGTCGCGATGCACCAAGGTCTCTGAGAATCGAAATATTGGTCTGGCCATAAGATTTCGTCCGTGACTATAAAACTTAAAAGCATAACTATCACTATTATATTACACGAAGTGGGAAATCAAAATTAAATAATTTTTGCTTTCCTTTTATTGGGATATTCCCAAAAACAGAGCCAGGAAATAAAAATTAAACAATGGGCGAGATGTGCAATAAGCGACAGTTGAGAAAGCACAGCCAGCTTTAGCATAGCTTGATCTTTAGAGCAAACAGCGCTACAGGTAGACTTTTACGCTTGTTACTGAACTTTTAAGCTTATTTGGCCGCATCATGGCCGTTATTAATAAATATTTTTTTCTCCTTTCGCTCAGTTTATGTTAGTAATGAAATGTGATTGAAACTTGCTGTTTAAAAATTATGTATAATTTGTATTTAATTAGACATACAACTAGTATAATATACACGACTGTCTCGTTGGTCTGGTGGTTGTAGTAGTGCGACTGCTGATCCTGAGGTCCCCGGGTTCGAATCCCGGGTCGGGCCAAAAAAATCAGTTATTGAGCTTTTCCACAAGGAGTCAGGAAGTTGGCGGTGTCTCACCCCCGTGCCTCGGAAAGCACGTAGAGCCGTTGGTCCTGCGTCTGATCTCTCTCCGGTCGTGTCGGTTTACCGTCCCATCGGACTATGAGAGTGAGGGAATAGAAGATGCACCTGTGCTTGCGCATACACTTGGGCACTACAATTTTGTCCTGCACCGATGGCTAATCTCCGTGAAGACTGGCCGTCGTGACCGAAATTTTGTCTGGAGGACATTATTATTATTATATAAATTAAGTTTGAAAAATTGGTGTAATTTTTAAATAAAAGTTTAGCAACCCGCACTGGTGTATTTGTCCTATTTCTCCAGGACCTCTCAAAAGCCTCCAAAGCATAGGAGAAGATCCAACAATGAGAAAACTTTTCCACCACCCAGTGTTATTTATTTTATATTGGACTTTAACAGCCACATTATAGCAACAACGACCAAATAATGCCAATCTATTTTTTTTATTTTAAATTACATATGACCTTATTATGCCCATGTGTCGTTATGTCTATGGGTACGGTATGGTATGGAACGTGACACAGTTGTGGAGATATGAGCCGAGTGCTAGGGCCAGTCGAGATCAGATTCAGTCCAAAAAAGCTATTATTACTTTTACTCTTGCAGTAAAATGATATATGACACTCCGGGGTTAAACGACACATTTCATAATCCATCAAGCTTCTTACTTTACAGGTCACAAAAGAAAATGGGAAACATAACCTTCTTTCTGGGGCAGTGAGGTACAAAAATTCAACAAATTTTTTTTTGTATGAAAGTGTAAGGCAATATGTTCTAGTTCTCTCGAAGGACAGAACTGCGCTGATTCCATGTGAATTTCAACTACTTTAGATGTTACATATATTCTTTTCGCGAAGAAGTCTACCTCCTAAGTGTGAATCTCAAAGGATATAAAATGTATCTTATTAAATAGTTGTTGTGTTGTGTACTTTTTATCAATCGTTGTAAAATTTATAAAATATTATTCTTCTGTGATGTGTGTTTCAATTGTTATTATTTAAATAGATATTTGAAGCTAAAGTTGTAATATTTTTTTGCAAATTAACATTTCAATTGATTTGAGACCGCGGGTAGTTACAAAAAAATGTATTTTAATGCAGGTACTTGCACTGGTTTGAAACATTATACATATCTCGGGTTAATTGTAGATTACATTAGGTAATATATATTTAGTATGTATTAATTTAAAGTCCTTGTTTTCAAGACTGCACTTGTGATTATATTTTTATTGTTCTGTTAAATTTGTTTTGTTTGCAAGAGTAATTATTTGTATTTTGATGAGTTATTTGATGTTGCAAATCAATCGCTTTTTCATTAATCTACCTGTTAGTTGTATATATGTACTTATTAGTGACAAAGTGTAAATAAAACTATTCTCCAAATAAAAACAAACTGTTTTTTATTATGAACAAATAACCATTTTAATAATTGGTGAGAAGCTTTGAAACTGGCTGTAAATACGCAATACAAATTTAATATTTTAACGTGTCTATAATAAATCTAAATGCCTGTAAACCAAAACTAAGGGCAGAAAAAGGAGTTTGTGACAGTTTTTACTTTTTCATCACTAACACAGATATAAAAAGAGTTTTCGACCACATCTACAATTACCGAATAATCGGAAACACTAAACCGTCCGCAGGTTTGCCGATGGTTAATTCTCACACTTATGTAGACCCCATCCCGGGTCTGCTCCCGGTAAACTACTTAATACCGCTAGCAAAGCTTTGGACGTGTGACGTCATGTCGCTATAGGAAATATTAGTGCCACGAATGCACGCGCAAGCACAGCGGTTTACTCTCCCTACCCAACGCATGCCCGATGTAACACTCGTGTGACAAAATCAAAGGCAAGCTAGATTGCAGTATCAGAGTCATGGGGACAAATACAACAAACACATCCTTAAACAAACACTATTTTAGTACAAAAGCAGATTTAGGCTGGGATTTTAACTCGAGATCCGCAGGGGAATATGACGATAGATAGTCTGACCCCTAAGATCAGCTTAGGGGTCAGACTATCTGACTACTGCCTTATTTTTCAACATTACGGTGAGAGGAAATTAGTCCGTGGTTAATAAAATATTGTACGATAACTATTGTTTTCTGTGATATTAAAATGTTAATACTCGGATATATTTTATATTCTTTCAACCTTGATGCAATAAATACGTAATTTTATTAATTGGAAGATGCTCCCTCTGTCTCAGCCTGTTCTAGCCCATATCAGTTTTGGTGTCCAGGCGCCAATCTCAAGCGTTTATATTATATCGACTCAAAGAATCGCAGCTCCTCATTTCCTCACGCACACATGCACATGTCAATAAAAGCAAGTCTTTATCACAGGCGCTCGCTTCTGGAGCGCATTTCTGTTCGCTAATCACTTTCACTACAGCTCTGACCGGGCACATAGTCCTCGTCATCTTCATCGTCATCAGATAACTCCAAATCATCCATGTCTTGGAATAGGGACTCGTCGACTTTGACAGCATCGCCTGTAACCATCAACGTTATGTAAGGTCAAATTTTGTAATGATAATTACACAAATACATATTAACCGATTCGTTGCGGGACCGATTTTCGACAACTTTTAGCTATGGCGGCGAACAAATACTTCGTAACACGCCTGGCATGTCAAGCGCCACAGACACGCCTATTGTGCCATCAGTTATGTGTAAAAATAATTTTCTTTTTTATGCTTTTATCACTTGTTTAGACCCAATTAAGTTTAGTTGACATCAAACATCAGTTACAAACGGAAGAATACTTGTTTTTAGTGGGTAGCTACGTGTTTTTCTACGTGTTTTCTTTGAAATTGAGAGTAAGTGCCTTTTTTATGCAGATATTACAAACCTTTTGTACTATTTTTTTGTTTTATAAAAAATCATTTATATAAATAGGTACAACAAAATAACCCTGGAAAACCTTGGTTTTTATTAAATTAAATTTTCACCTAATAATAACATTTGTAAATATCAAACAATCAAGAACCTTATTTTGGAAAAAAAATAAGGTTTATGATTCATTGATATTTACAAATGTTAAATATTATTTAATGTTATACAAATGTAAAAGTAAGTCGATCTGAAACCGTTTAATTAGTAAGAATAGCAAAACAAGTGTTTTCAAAAGGAAAAAAAACGCCGGCGCTGTACGGCGGCGGATGGACAAAAGACTATTTATTAGCGAACTTTCTTATGCATGAACTATTTCATCTCATCATGAACTGTTTCAAGCAAAAATAAACCTTATAACATATCATAAGAGTCCATATGATAATAAGACGGCAGTTCAACCATTTTAAGCAAAATTAAACATTAAGACAAACGCATTAGAATAGAATGGAATAGAATAATTTTTATTCAATATACAATATACATTGTACAATATACAGTGTAACAATATACATTGTTTTTTTTTAACAGGAGACTTGTTTTCCAGAAACTTGTTTACAACTTCAGTTTGTGAGCGATCGCAATGAGTGCTATTATTTGTTACTTATTAGACTATTTTTCCACAACATGATTTAAAAAAAACCCACAAAGTAAAAGAGTACATGTTAAAAAAAGGTTGTCAACCTCTAAAAATTTCAATGTTTCGAAATATCCAGAAACGAAGCTGTAGGCATGAACTACTTGCAAAATAATGAATATTTTGTTCTGGATAAATCTTCCAAAAACGCAATTTGAGCGAGTTATCACGATTTAAAAAAAAACACGACTCGCGTGTCATACGCCACGCACAAAAATAATCGATGGCACGCCAGGCATGCCATCCGCACTGAACCGATTAATTTTAATTTAAACATATTGAACAAATAAAAAATTAGCCATATAGTGGCCTATCTACTTTACTTATTTAAGCACATTAAAACTTACCATCATCCAGAAATTTAAGATCTGATTCATTGAGTGTTGTGTCCCTCAGGAATAATTCTTTGCCTGTAAGTTTATTTTTGTCTTTTCCTTCTCTTTCCCTTTTAGCAGGAATACCCATATCCATTTCAAACTGTTTCCGCCAGGCCAAAAATGATTCTACTGTTACCCTGGTTCCTTCGAATCTTTTCTGTGAAACAAACAATGTGTTTTTGAGAGTAATAATATAAACTGCACATCTCCATTTTTGTCCTCACAAATGACAAAGTATCAGTAGCCTTCCTTGTTTCAAGTTGGCTGCAAGCATCCATTTATTGCAGTAGCTACTCGCCATCAGGTCGACTGAAACTTTGTTTCTCACTTCAGTTTAATAAAAAAAACTGACATAATTGTTAACTTCATTCCACCTGTTTTCCAGGTGGTAGCATGCATAGGGATTCTCCTGAAATGTCATATGACCCTCGATTTTAGAAGAAATACAAAATCTTTCTACTTTAAGAATGCAGTTCAAATCCCATAATTTTTTTTTATAGGAAAGGGTGACAAACAAGCACACAGTCCACCTGAAGGTAAGTGGTTGCTGTGACCCATAGACATCTACATTTATCCTCGATTACGAATCAAAATGCAAATGCGTTGTCACCCGTGAGGACTAAGATGGAATGCCGCGTTTCCAGTAAAAAGGGTCTCCGGTTCTCTACACTCACCATACGAAACACAGCAGCATTAAGCTGCAATTTTACGCTGGTATTCTGTAAGAGCGTGGTCCTTCCCCGGTCGAGCCGACACATTCGTGTTACAACTATAGCAGATATATAGCTGCAGCATGGCTCTACCACGAAAAATGGAAATAAAATTTAATAGGAAATTACCATTCATTCTGGGGATAAACAAATGAAGAGTGCCCAATTCATCCACTAAAAACGGTTAAAACTACACATACATAGAATAAGTGCAGTTGAAATGTAACTAACGCTTAATAAAAAAAAAAAAACAATTTTTTTTTTAAGTGTCTTTATTCGGCCATACATACAACAAATTATTTTTGACACAGCGAAATCGATGACTATTATATTATGCGGGAAGCGTATCATTTCATCTGATTTGTGATATATTTGGCAACAGTAAGTATTTTACCATCTTAGATTTAGCAAGTGGCTATCACCAGATTGAAGTGTAAAAAGAGGACAGAGCGAAGAGAGAAACTTCTAGAGCAAAATGGATAACGTTTATGTATACGTAATAAGATGAAATCACCCAAGAATTTCGTAAATGAAGTCTGAAACCAAAGGCCCATCTGCGATGTGGTAACGACGTAAGAAAACGGCGTAAGAAACTCCATCGCCCCATTAAATCTCATGGATGTCGTAAAAGTCGACTATGGAAAATGCCAAAAAAATCTTATGGCTTCCGATACGTGGCAGTGCATCCATATCATTTACACCAGAGGTAAAAAACACCGGACCAGCAAAGCCAACCAGGTGAAAAGAGTGAGACATCTGGTAGGTAACCGTCAATCTGCTTGACGGTTAATGCAAATCCCCCACAAACGGGAGAGGCCCACATCACGCCAGAAAGAAATAAATATAAAATGACAAAAATGATCACAGTATTAAAAATATGCATTCCAAATCTGGAGCCCCTATTTCAGAAAAAAGGAATTGAGTTACTAGTTCCTAGAGCATTGAAAAACATACCATACGAGGAAAGGCTGAATAAACTTAAACTAACGACTCTGAAATATCGCAGAGAACGAGGAGACTTGATCGAAACCGACATATGGGATGGTCTGCCGGCCGAAATTATTCCTGTGGTCGTTTCTGAAAACGGGCTATTCCCGGTCAGCCTCTCAGGTCATCTAATGCAACTGGGACTCTATGACATTGTCTATCATCCGACGATTTTTTTGCCTTTCCCTCTAAGCATCATCTGTTCGATCTCTTCTGCCGAGGGCTTCCATCTGGTTGGGTTTTTATTCATCCATCTATTCGACCTTTCAAAGACAAAATTTTAAAGCCTGCACAGACATTCACTGAGATGAGACAAAACTGACAAAAAACAGCAGCGGTTGGCCAATCTTAGTAAATACTTCTATAAAGGTAAATATGCCTACCAAGTGTGGAGATAATGGTAAATCCTTCCTCCAATTTGAAAGAACCATAACCAGTTTTGGATTTTATGGGTTCATAAAGATAAGAAGCAAGATTTAAGCTAATTTTTTGTAAAATAACTGGTGAATGCAAAAATATGTTCCAAAAATATAATTAAAAAATTCTTTTAGGTAAAAATATAAAAGTAATGTTTATGATTTTAGTATAATTAAATTGTAAATAATGTAATAAATACATGTACCAATATTTGTTAAAAAGTTTTACTAAAACCTAAACTGAAATGCTAAACTTATGACACATAATGTGTTAATGTGTATTACAAAAACTCATGAAATATTATGTTACACATACATAAGTGTAGAAGTATGAAACCAGAATTTTTGTGACTTTGTGTTGCCTATTTCCATATTCCAATCTTTTTTCATGTAATGCTCGGTTTATATTGATCATTTGCTGTTGGTAGCGAACAGTATTAACGATTTCACCAGGTTTTAGCAGACTACAATAGATTACACCCTTCTGATCCCACCAAACAGTGCACTGCCTTCTTTCTAAAGTGATTTGATCTTCCAGTGGATATAGATGGTCTCCCTGGATTAATTTTCATCCATTGAGGTATTCATGGCCCTATTTCAGGCTTTTCTTACCTGCTGCATTTCCTGTCTAGTTCTTTACCCCACTACGGTTGCTTTCCCTGAACAAGCCTTGGTGGAGTGATTTCTTGACATGCTTCATGGTAGCTGTCTATCATGGCTCTAGTAACAGCTACTACCTGTTCTTCTAGGAGCGACTGATATAGTGTTTATCCCCTCAAAACCGGCGAGCGAAGACGTTAGCTTATTAAGATACTTTATTTTGTTAGTCTTGCAGGGATTTCTCCATGGTGGTGTATCGGGGATATCGACCTGTAGTACGTAGCAAATCCATCTATTGTTTGAGCATGAGGCCTCATGCCGACACATGCCGTCCCATAAATAGTTTAGCTGCTCCTTCTGTTGCAAGTGTCAGGTCGATTATTTTGTGACAATGTTTGTTTATGAAAGTTGGTTCAGAACCTGTGTTTACAATGGTTAATTTAGTGCTAAAGATATATTCAATTAATACATTACCTCATTCATTGGGTTTTTTCTTTCCTCAGAGGGTATAATGCGCATTGAAATCTGTCTGGATCACAACCTCAGAGACCTCACGAGATCAGTTCTCTCGCAGAGATTCACCAGCTTGACAATGTCATGAAGGGGAGGTATGTCTTCCTCCAGCATGTAGACTAAGGCCATGACTAGTCTTCCCTCCTGTGTATATTGTATCTCAACGGCATATGTCTTTACGGCGCTTAAGATTCTTGAAATATACCCATTTATCACCTGTCACAATTCGATGGAGAAATTACTTTCTTTTATATCTGTTGAGCAGCAATTCACAAGTGGTTTTTCGATTTTCTTGCTGCCTTACATTCAGTTCATGAGGCACCCATTATTCCACTTTTTTAATCTTTCCCATAGATATTAAACAAATGGAGACAGCTTTCTGTGCCACATTCAATTGATCCGCAAGTTCTTGTTGAGTTTGAGTATCATCTTAATCTAATAAAGCTTGCAATTCGTCGTCTTGTTTTTTGGTGGTTTCCCAAGCTCTTCGTTTCTCACATCAAAATCACCACTTTTGAACTTTTTGAACCACTTGAAACACTATTTTACCAAGAGCATGTTCACCATAAGCTTGGACATGCGATTCTACAGCAGTTCTCTTCAAATGATAACAGAAAACCAATATTGTCCACAAATCATAGTTCGTTGGCATAAAACTCGACATGTTTAAGGTTATAGAAAAATATACCCGTGTATGGAACTTGAGTTGTTATTGTGTTGAAAACCTTCGTCAGGTGTTAGAGGCAGATGATGGCACTGCAGAAGCGGTCTTATAGTCCCTAAACTGATGGATAGCACCATCTATTAAAAAACTATTTCACACTTCTACACCTGGTACATATTAATAAATAATGACCAACCTGTTCGGCTTCCTCATCAGCTCTTATTTTAGCAAGAACCCTTTCTTCTTTTTCTTTTTTAATGCTGTCCCACTTCTCATTAAGCCACTCTTGTCCTGCAGACACTAATGTAAATACCATGACCATGCCTAGATTTTGTTTCCCCTGTAAGATTTATTGTTAAAAGTGTAAAATAATATACCAAGGTTAATGTTCCCGGTAAATAAAAATTCATACTATAAATGAATAATTAGGGGCCATCCATAAATCACATAACATGTTTTCCATACTTTTAACCTCTCCCCCTACCATGTAATGCCATATAGACATTTTGTCAACCATTATTAGCCCAGCGATTAAAATAAATATGATATATAAATATGATTTTTATTTAATGACAAAATAAAATAAATAATAACTAAACATCCGCATCATCTGTCCATGTGGGCAACTCAGTCATCAAGAAGACTTAGGACTCGATCAATTTTCAATTGATTCTATCACAGGAATCAAAGGATTTGGTTGTGTTGTATCACAAGGAATTCATAAGCCAGTTATATTGAGATCTTTTTTATCAATCCAATCAGCCTGTCCATCAAAGTTCTGATCTTAGAAAGTACATTGTAACTCTCTATTACATCAAGCAACATAGTTACTGGCTTCACTCAATTTTGCCCTTGGGTCAAACAATGTTTAGGATGTAGCTGTTTTATATGCAATTGCACATTCCCTTGAGGCCAAATATTTTCTGCTAGTATGCAACATGTGCCTAATAGCACACATCATTAATAGCCGATGGGATATATTCAACACAAATATGAAAAAATTTGTATCTGCATTACGTGACCCCAGGTCGCACTGACCTTCCTCTCATGTAACCGCACATAACACATGTAAGCATACCTCTACCCTCCTGTAAAATGAGTTAGACTTTATGGATAGCCCCTAAGTGCTATCAAGGATAGTAGGATGGTAAGATTTGCTATAAAGATTTTTTGCAATATAATTAAAATAAGACTGGCAAAACAAACATTATCCACAATGATTGTTTTAATTTTTTTTAATCTTTTGATTTAAATTTTGGAAAAAATACTAACATGCTGTAAATTTACTAGTACTTTCTAATCAACTACAAAGTGTGTGAGTTAAATTACATAACATGATGCTATAGTTATCTAAATTTAACAATTCACTAGAACTTTACACCAAAAAGGGCACACTTCAACTTTTCTTTGTTTCCTGTAAAACCCCTATATTTACAAAGTGAAACCTTAACATAAATTGAACTTTCTTGAGTGTATAACTAAATACGCGTAATTTTTGAGAAAAAATTTGTTGAAAATCAATTATTCTTGCATTGTTTATATCTAATACTACCATAAAACTGACGCCATTTTGTAATGTCATTGTCGTCAGTAGGGATGTTGATTTTTTCCAAAAAGGGTGGATTTTTAAGCCGATTCAAATCGTAAGCTGATGTATCGATTCATAAAAAAATAATTTACGATTGTAATTGTAATGTAACGATTCATAAAATATCTATATTTTTTTATGTTTGCATTTATAATGTAAATATAATTCCATTTTATGAAAAACAAGAAAGATACCATAATAAATCTTAACACCAATTACAATTTCAAAAATAAATTCAAAACATATCTTCTACATAAACAAAAACAAGGTATTCCCAAACACTTTGTTTGCCAGCTATAAACCACGGTATTTTTTTTTTTGTTCCTACTAACTCATCATAGCTGTCTAAGCCTTTTAGGTACTACTTTTAATTTGTACGCAAACTTACACACTTACACGCCCCTTCAGTAATTTTGACTAAATTAAACCCAGGATGCAAATCGTAGGGCTGAAAGGACACATCTTTCAAATATACATATTTACACTGATTAACTATTGTGCTCATTTTCTTCTCGTCATCTCGAGGGTAATAGCTGAAAATCAGTGTTTGCTCTTTGAGCAATATTAATCGCTGAGCTAGGACCCATTTGTCAAACTGCAACACACATGTACATTTAGATTTTAAGTTTTTGTAAATTATTTTTTTTGTAATATGTTACTTTGTACTTAGTTTAGTTACTGAATTTACGTGTGTGATTGGAGAAACAAATAAATGCTTTATCTATCTATCTATCTATCTAATAAATGATCTCTTATTGAATTTTGTTTTATGTTAACAGTACCAATTAGGGCAGATAACAAATAAAATAGGTTAGGTTCAACTTATGTCAAAGAACCGAATTGATTGACCCAGACTCCACCTGGCACGAGTCTGTCCTACCCCTAGAGTGGTTTTAAAGAGCCGGAGGCGCGTAGGGGGAGCAGCCTCCGCCTGCTGTAACAAATCGTAGGCATCGGACGAGCCAGAGCGGCTGAGGCTGGTCGCCCAAGGCGACCAACAAGCCGAGGCTGCGGAGGTAAGGAGGGCTGCCTGCGATTTGTTACGCTAAGGCGTCGACGCTGCTCTTCCCGCAGCGCTGGAGACTAGCAGTCTCAAAATAGATACAGAAATCCTTCTGAATCAGTCCCCCTATATTTAATGATGAAGGGGATTTTTTTCTCATAAAATGGATTTATATTTACATTATAAATGCAAACATGAAAAAAATATAGCTATTTTAGAAATCGATTTTATGGGAATCGATACATCAGCTTACAATTCGAATCTTTTTAAAAAATCGATCTTTTTCGGAAAGAATCGACACTCCTACTGACAATAACAATAAAACAATGGCGTAAGTTTTATTGTAGGATTAGACATAAACAATGCAAGAATAATTGCTTTTCAATAACTTTTTTCTCAAAAATTACGCGCTTCCGCATATTGTAACTTTGTGTGTGTGCTTATAATAGTGTACCAAATATGCATTACAAGCCAGCCAATAGAAAAATCTTGCATATGATTTGAGGTGTTAAGAGTGAATGTGGGTAATGTACTAATTAATTAAGTATACATATTATTTGCATTACACCCCAAACTTGGAGAAATTGTTTACTTAAAATTATATTTACCTGATCAATTAAGTGTTCTAACAATTGGTTTTTATCCACACCATCGAAGTTTTCTTCATTTTCTATTTCCACCAGTGGCAATTCATCTGGATATTTAGATGTGTAAGTAAAAGTAAGTTGACAAGCGAGTCCTTCACCGGTACCTTCGTAACCTTCTGACATTATCGGTATACAAAATTTGTGGAATGGTTCTGTCTCTAAAACTTTAATTAAACAGTTTAGAATAATTTAAGCTAACCTTAAAAAAAAGGATTTTGTTTTTGTACCTAGATATTTACTTTTCATGTCGCCGTAATATATAGAGTCCAACGCTTCTACCTCACTATTCTGTTCATAATGATAATCCATTGCGAAATACAAACAGAAAACTATAATTGTAATAAAATTGGATTTCTTTAGGTTTCTGTGTAAAAATTAAATTTTTAACACCTTCAGTCACTGATGTATGACATTGACATTTTACGTTTTTAAGGTTAGATTAAGGGGTTAACGGAAGCTTACTACTGATTTATTTATCTGTGCCTTAACTTAGCCCAAAGAGTATATAATCACTAGAGATGAAGTGTCATAGATATTTATAATAATAATAATAAATCTTTGTTTCGGATAACAAATGAGAACCATATCAGAGATATTAGAAAAATTACTAAATAATAATAATAATAATACAGCTAGGGGGACGGGTAAAATGACACGCAGGCACGCACGCATTCACGTATGCACACACGCACGCAAGCGCGCACACACTCACACGCACGCGAACACGCACGCGGCCATACATGCATACATACACACACACATAGGTAAGTCAGCCATGCAGGATCTAAATAATTTGCCTTATTATAACAGTCATGTTTTTGTGCTATAACACCCAGGATACTGTTGGCGCTATTCCTTGTTCTACTTAGTGGCGATGCGGTTTTTTTGTGCATTATTGCGTCAAACCCGTCGGTGCTGAACTCACAGAACATGCCTGAGTAGCTGCAGTAGCGGGGCAGCCACAAAAGAGCTCTAAATGTATTGTTATATTGCACCTTTAATGCTTTATACGCCCATTGTGTGTAGTTGACCCAAAGGGAGCACAAATAGAAAGACTAACAGTATGCCTTAAAAAGAGTTATTTTAACGGCATTACTGCATCATGCAAACCTACGGGCCAACATATTACACAATTAACACATTATACTCCGGGTCGATAAAGCCTTACGCTCCCTCTCCATGTCCATTTCATCACGCAAATCCTCGGTCACGTAGTGTCCCAAGTATCTGAATTGCGATACCCTCGATAAAGCAGTGTTGTAGAGTCTGATAAATGGTATGTACGTGGGACTCTTGTTATTAGCTTTAAATAACACAAACTCATTCCCAGAAGCTTTCTGAGCGCACTGACCGAGGGACTCCATGTTATCAGCGTTACGTATAGTTGCGCTAGCACTTATTATTAGTTTGTGATTATCATGGACTATTAGAAGTAGATATATAGATATATAGAAGAGAATATACTGGCTTATAGACCGACACAGTGTGCAAGGGAGAAGAAAATTCATTAAGGCAAAAATGCAAGATAGAAAAGGATACCAAATCTCATGACTCTGTCACCGATTTTGAATGACAGGTCGGCACAAGTCAGCAAGTGTTATAGTGGTAATTTTTAGTAAGTAGCTTTTTTCTAAAGCGGTTACTTTTCTTGTAAGTGACTGTACTGTTAATAATAGAAATAATCCTGATAACTGCACATTTCACAGGTAAATTCTCAAGACGTCGTCAATGTTATGACGCGTTTATTTTTGGTTAAAATGTATGTTACATACCGTTTAAAATATAGAATGTTTACAATTACTTTGTTAATTTTGATATTTTGCAAAGAAAAGCAAATTATCTGCAACGTGACGTTGCGGATAATTTGCATGAATTTGGTAAATATATTTTTATACAAAATAATTTACATGTACGCTAGGTATTGACTCACCTATATCAAAATTAATATCGATATTTGTTTATATTTTGAATGTTTATATTGAATCGATATACTTGCCCACACAAAAAGAAAATAAATCCTCTGTTTGCGTTCTATAAATATAATTTTATTCCGCCGTTTGTCAAACTGATTCCCCCCGGAGTCCATAATTAGGAAATAGTTAAGGTTATGTGGACGGGTTGGTTGTGATCCAAAGAAAATCTCAACAATTTGCAGCAAACGTTTTCTTGAGAAGTATAAAAGAAAAAGGAGAATAAAACAATTTTATTAAAAGGAGCCTTCTCTACATTGTTTGTAATATTGTTGTAATAAAATTTCAATAATTTAAGTTTCAAAACTTTAGATAAAAATAGAGACAGATTTCTATACAATTAAAAACTGTAATATATTAAAAATAAAAATCTTGAGATTATCCTATCTAAGCCATTATGAACCCAACTAAGTATCTTAAACAACCAAAAAATATATTACTTCACCACCCGCACCTCACGGTCACACGGTATTTTCCCTAAGGGGTTACGCGGAGCTTCAGATTATTATTCCCAAGTCACAATAATAAATCTTTTAACGTAGTTGGATATATTTAGTAATGCTCTTGAAGCGCCATCAGACACCTGCGCATGAGACTCTCGGTTCAATGTGCCAGGATAGAATAAATTCCATAGTACTTGATACTCACAAAGCTCGATGCCCGATTCATGTTTGATGGCCGACGATTGTGCCAAAGGCTTAACTGGTGTGTTCATCGTTTACAGCGATAGTCGTAGAGAAGAGGAATTCGTGGTTAAGTAATAGCTGCGTGAATCAATAGATCTGCGAGATTAAGTTGCATTCGCTGCGATCAGTCCATGAATGAGAGACCATCTTCTTAACATACCGAGATTGAGAGAATAGAGAGTGTATTCTCTGTCTGTATCCTCAGACACTTGGTGCACTTTACTCTGTTAAGATCATTATGTTTTTAAAATTCATGCAGCTAAAATTATAATAAGTTTATTATTACTTTATACTTTTCAGGGACAGATGAAAGAATATAAACATGAAGCATGATGAAGCCTCATAAACATATTGGCCTTTAAACAGAGCAATCTTATTTAACTGATTCCCCTACAAATTTCCTTACTTATATTATTAAGTTTACATTCATATTTAAGTTGAATGTTAAGATAAACTTGTATAATGTATTTAATTATTAATTAAGAAATGTTTGTAATTATCAATATTATTACTTATATGAAAAATAAAGCAGCCATTACTCAGCATGTACTCCTTGTCCCTGTTTTTTATTTTCTCATCAAAACATTTTATAAAATATATAAAATTTAACATCTTATAAAATATATATTTTATAAAATGTCTTGTTGGGAAACTGTACATGTCAGTAAATATTTTTCTCCAAAGATATACAACTTCTCGTTTGGATTCTTCGGGAAGTTTTTTTTTAAGTTTATCAGTAAAGTCACCTGAAATTTAGTTAATCAATTTCGTGCACTAAACTATTTTTTTTAATATTTTTACCGCTTCCATAACAATCATTTTTCTATTTATAGTCCTTTTAAGTAAAGTGTACATCACTAGCTAACGCAGACAATGACAAATCAAAATTAGTCACACGTTTTTAGGCTGTCAGGTCGTCTATACGCCAATATATTTTAATCTATGAATTTATGTATACTAAATTTAAATAAATTATAATAAACAAATATTTAGCGAAAGTTGTAAAATTAAGAAAAAGGGAAATAAATAATTTTAAATTTATTCCGCCATTTTGTGGATCTTGCTTAAAGTAATCTCGAAGGCCAATGATTACCCCCCGCTCGACTCGCCTTAACAAGATTTTTGTTCGTTTTGGCATTTTAAATAAAGAAACTCTACATATAGCAAAATTTTACTTTACGAAACACAACAATAAACTCAATAATCGAATGTATAAGCAATATAAACTTAACTTGAAATTACAAAACGGCCGATAGGTACCTCATGTGCACAGGCTAATATGATGCTTACGCATAACATAATATGATGCTCATGCGTAAGATACAGATATAAATATACCTGCGTAAGCATCATGTTAGTCTGTGGATACCTCCATTCCATGAATTCATGCTCCATTCACACTATGGAGGGTAGAGTAGAAGGAGGACCATCTCTATATATGAAAAGTGTCCCTAAAAACGTGTCCAATAAGGGTGGCGCTGCAGTAGCATAGGATAAATTTAAAAAAAGCGCCAAATGTAATTAGAATAAGATGGAGAGATAAACAAGGACCGACGGTGTTGTACTACGTAAATAGTTGAGATTTTGTATACTGGCATTTTACTAACTACTCTAGTCATGAAATTTTTTAAATATTTGAATTCAGCTTACTTCACTCCGTTCACAACAGCTACCTACATATAGTAGTTTTTCAGACGCCAGCGCTATTGTGGTAGGTTTTGGAACCTCTATTTTCAGTAAATAGTAGGACACTTTTTCAATTTTAGCCCCTTATAAGAGGTAGGTTCTTCTTGTACTCTACACTCCATAATTCACACAAAACGCTAGGCGCCAGCATAGATTATACATGTTAGTGTTATCAGGTGTCCCAATTTGCGCGGAACGTGCCAATTTTCAGGGGTTTGGTGACACGTCGCGATTCACCCTTAATCAGGACGCCAAATGTCCCGATTTTTTAGTCTCGATAATTATGACAGAAAAATAAATACATCTGTAAGCTGTTTTTGTGGCTGTTACTACATTTAAATATTTTAACTTGACATTTCATATTTTCTCACTAAACACGGACTAAATAGTTAACATCAAAGTTTTAACAATTAAAAACTAACGTAATTTAAATGGGGAGGAACTGTGTCTTGTCAATAACACCATTTTTCTTGGAATCACACAAGACGCGAAGCTTCAATAGAGCCCTCATATATCAAAACTAGCAAGCAGACTTAGTTCTGCAGCATATCCTGTAAAAAGATTAGAAATCTTATCAGTGTTGAAATAGCTAGACTAGTTTACTTTAGCTATTTCCATTGCATAATATCGGTATGGTATTATACTATGGGGATATGCAGCTGACACTGAAATTATATTTGTTTTACAGAAGAGGGCCATAAAAGCAATTTATAATTTAAAGCCTAAAGAGTCGTAGCGAAAAAAATTAAAAAATTAATATATTAACTTTGGCCTCTCAATACATTTATGAAAATGTAATGTACGTACACAAAAATAAAAGTAGTTTTATAAAATAAGTTGTATTAATTCTGTTAATATTAGGAACAGACACAAGCTAGTAGTACCAGTTACTCAAATCCACCGTGTCAGTTATTCATTCTTGGGGCAGCGTATACGTTTTTACAACAAAATCCCAGAAAATATACAAGTGATAATCTTTCGTACATGCGGCAATTGACTTTAATTTATAGATATAGATTTACCATTTGTTAAGCGGAAAACCGTTGACTATATTCAATAAAGCTTTATCTGCTTGGATGAAAATATATCGAAATCATGATGTTAAGGCAGGATCTTGATAATGTGTAGCGGCGGTGTAAAATAAACTACTACCTAAGGAGGCAGTAGTTTATTTTACGCCGCCGCTACAGGTTAGGCCGCTAACTTGGTAGGCCAAACAATATATTTTATTATTTAGAAGCTCTAAGACCCCATACCATCCCACAAGTATCGTAAAGGACGACATAGGGAAATGAAACAGGAGATAGGCAACAGTATCTTCCTGATAACAACTCAAAATAATAAAATATTAAGGTTGCCAAACCAAGTCTCTCTTAGCACTTGCTAAACAAACACTGTTTTATTATTCCCTGTGAAACCCATAATAAGTCTAAACATAATTTGGCGGAAATATAACGACTGTATTTAAATAGATTTCATAGTGACATTTTCACGATATATTTTAAATTATACAACAATAGTACGAAATTACGCATTATTTGACTACGGTTTAGTTATAAGATATCAGATATAGCTTCCATAAACTTCATTGATTTAAATAAGTATTACGGACCGGATTTATAAAAGTCCCTAATTTTACTACGTCATAGACTAAATGAACTTATCGACAACGTTTTCTAATGGCACATCAATAGAGGTGTCTATGAAATGGGAAAACGGCAACAACCTTGAAAAAGAAAGAAGGTGAGAATAATATAGCCATGGAGTATCGAGATATAGCGATCTTATTTTGTACCGTATTAAACGTCACATGTATAAATAGTTCAGCTCTAAGTATTTTGTCCTTATTTTAGGACTCTCTCTATGCTAGTAATTACTCTGAGCTTTGGTCATAAAGCATAAGTTGATAGAAGTTTTTAGCGGGAACTTGACCGGCGGTGGATTGCTGCTCCTGTATTTATTTTTTATTATTGTTTAAATAATGGTTTGAAGTGGATTTTGATATGTAAAAGTGGTGAGATTTTGTGTATTAAGTGTCTGTGCATGTGAATTATTAGTGGAAACGGTGAAACAAGTGCTCTGATGGTGATGTGATTCTCAAGATAAGGTGTATGTCTGCTTAGGCGTCTTGAGATAATACCATCGCCAACTGTCAGCTGTCTACTAGCTCAAGCAGCCATCAAAATCTCCCAAGAGCTGCACAATGTGATGCATCAACATAATATTGTGTAGCAGTGTACTACTATGAGGGATAACTATACATTATAACTTCAGGCTCAGAAGAGCTAGAACCCAGAGCCGCAAAACCAGTTATAAAAAAAGCATAAGATGACAAAAAAATAAACAATCAAAAACAAAAACAGCTTGTTAGCTTGATACATAAATAATTATCTATGATCAAAAAAGGAAAAGGAGAAATTTGGGACGAAGATAATTTTTTTCTGGGTTATTTTGTATTTTACAAAATTAAATAGCACAGATACGTATTAAAATTATTATCTATAATAATATGGAATCTCCTGACATAATGTCTTCTAATGTAAATATTACGGACTCCAATGAATCAGGGTTAGTTTTTTATCGTTATTTTTAATTTATCCTTTTTTATATATAATATCATTGAATTTATCCTATAAACTTTGTTACATTTATTTTATGTACTTTCAGAAACATGCAACACCATAAAAGTGAAGATTTTTCTGACCTGCGGGATCATGTTATTGCTAATTTTCAAAAACCTAACTTACCCAATATTAATGTTCCAGAGAAAATTATAATCTGTTTAGATATTTGCTACGATAATCAAAATTCTCTCTATCGCTTGGGTGATGGCACAACATTTACACCTGTGAATATGCTCAAAAGAATTTTAGATTTCTTTTTGTATTCAAAACATGCTATTAACAAGAGAACAGAATTTGCTTTACTTGTCTTAAAAGATAGTGAGCCTTGTTGGTTACAAAACTTCACAAATAATTTAAAGGACATCATAAGTGTTATTGACTACTTAAATGCAGAAGAGAGTACCTCAGAAATATTTGATTTTGAAAAAATATTCCAAATATTAAAGCAAGAAATACAAATACCTGAATACTGCCAGGCAGATTGTATTTTGCCCCCACCATATGTGGTGAGGATGATAGTTTTATATGGAAGATCTAATTGTGTCCCTCAAATTCCACAAGATGACCCTTATTTTATTTATCTTAAGAAACAATTTTATTTCTATACTGACATTTTATTAGCACATGAGGAAGATTGTGCACTCTATAAATGTGAAGAAATATATGATGCACTACAAGATTTAGACAATGGATATTCTTATGTATATGAGGTATCAAGAAATGCAACAAAAATTCATGACTGTGTTGCAAAACTTTTAGCTCATCCCTTACAGAGGCCATTACAAAAAAATACAGACTATACTTTTGGATGTAGATATTAAGTTATATTAAATATGATTAAACATTTACAGGATTTCAATCGGAGGAGGGGGGGGGGGGCGATTTTGAAGGTCCAAATACCTTATTACAGAAAAGAACTAAAAAAAAAATTATCTGATTTGGAAAACTATAAGCATTCCCTCAGTGAATTCATCGCTAACGCTGCAAAGGAGTGAACCTCAATTTTTAAACAATTACATTAGAGCAAGAAAACATTTATTATTCCTCAATTACTAGCCTTTTTTTCATCACAAAATTAATTATATTTGTAGTTTTATTTGTAGTTTTCCATTAAGTCTAATATATTTAATTTTCTGACGAAAAAACGCTTGTAGTAGGGGAGGGGAATAATAAATGTTTTCTTTCTCTCCCGTAATTATTTAAAAATGAGGTTCAGTCCTTTGCGGCGTCTACAACATCAGCTAGTCGTAACTACTAATATGCCGATCTTGCTCCACTTTTTCAAAAATGGCATTGACTTTATCAGTATGAGGGTGACCAGAGCAAGCTGCATCTTTGACATCAATATTTCTGGACTGAAAATGCTTGAACCAACTTTGTGCTACTCTTGCTGACACTACATTAGGTCCATAAATGTTACAAATTTTTTCGTGGCTTGAGTCGCATTTTTCCCTTTTATGTAATAAAACTTCAGAATGTATTGAATTTCTTCATTAGTTTCACTGTTTAAGCGAACAAAAACAATTTAAAAATCGGAGTGTTTTTTACTTTTTATTCTCCTTTTTCTTTATGTCCTATATGTATTGATATCAGTGGCGTAGCTACCCAGGGGCTAGGCGAGGCAGTGCCCCGGGGCCCCTCGGCTTCGAAGAACGACGTTTCGAAAAATTATGCACTAGCCTACTGGTATAAAGATTTTTCGTGTTTTCATTTTTAGGCCCTGACAACAAACGGATTGAACTGAAATCACAAAAATTGCTCCCACTTACAGAACAAAAATATAAGATTGTTAAAGATAATTGCAACATCTCTTTGTCTCATCTTTCGTCTTTGTCAGTCGTCGATGATTCGAGCCGCTCTGCGCTGGCTGCGGTTAAGTGGAAGGAGTTGGTACTGGGGAACCCCAGCCCAGGGATGAGAACAGTATTCCTTTGTAAAATTGCAAGCAGTGTGCATAAAATACTGTCCCGCTCTGCTGAGCACGCAAAGCTTTTTAGAGGCCAATTCAGCCTTCCCTTTCAAGTGACCACGAAATAGCACGTGATTCGATATGTCAACGCCGAAGATTCCGATACTGGCTGAGGTGACAAGGGCAGTGACCTGAAATTGAGGAGTGACGACAAAGGTAGTATGTAGTACTTTTTAGTAGTCGCCCCAATCCAATACCTTATCCGGCAAAAGCTAGACTTCATACACTAGTTTGTTCCGGTACACGGCACCGTTTTCCCGAGAAATATAGGCATAGCCGGTGTATACAGAACTACCAGTGCACGTTACCGGTTTGCAATATATAATTGATAAACAGTAGAAACAGCATAGGTGATAGCATGAATAGGCTTGTAATTGTAGCATGTAACTTCTACTACGACTTTGTTGCTCCAATCTGCGAGAAAACTGCTGATCGAGTCGCACAAGTTCTCGGGAAGCCCATAAGAAGGGAGCTTGGAAAGAAGCGCTTTGTGCCAAACCAGATCGAACGCCTTCGCTATGTTAAAACTAACGGCCAGGGTCTCCCTCTCTGCCTCCGCCGATATATGAGTCAGGTAAGCCAGAAAATCTCCAGCTGAGCAACCCGGCGGAAATTATACTGGCGGTCACTTTTCAGCTGGTGATCCTCAACTTCACGAGCTGACAGTTCACAATGGTTTTCATTATTTTGGAGATCAAGTTGGATAAACCTGAGCTGTCGATTTTCAGTTATTTTTTAGGGATCTGGTGCACTAAATCTATCTTCTTTTAGTCCGGGACTACGCGTAGGGAGAAAGAGTTAGAAAAGACACGTTACCACCGGTGCCAATTAGGGAGCACGCGTCTTCAGCATCAGGCCCACTCGACTTGACGTCTAGAGAGAGTAGTGTTATGCGCACCTAGCGCTGTGTAAATCGTATCGTACGGACCTGAAGGCGAGATTATACTTCTTTTTAACAGCGCTGGTGAAGCACTTCTATTACAGCGCGATGCAATTTTACTGGGGCGACCAAACCAGGCACCACAGATGATAGAATAAAGAGTTCCATTCCCTGAAGTACCACATCAGCGACAGAATCACGTTGGGATCATCCGGCCCGAAGCATATCCGCCCCTGTCCTCAGGGAAGGATCCAAAAAAAAGACCGCATCCTGTCCCAATCGGCTGACCTATAGTGACAAACACGGCGGTGATCTGCAGAACGCAACCGCAATGGGAGTGTGAGTGGCACCATAGTCCGGATCAGTCATTGGTCCAATGAGCCAAGAGGGGCGTCGACGGAGACCTGATATCCGTCCGGATGAGAGGTCAGCAGAAGGTCCTACAGGGAAGGTGCACGATCCTCCACATTTAGAATCCACGTAGGTGAATTAACTATTTGTGTCAGATCATATGCCAAGGCAAAGTCATAAACAGATAATTCCCGCATGATCGGTTAAACGAGAACAAAGCCATTCAGCGTGATGGCCGGTAAAATAACCAAGGATAACGATCTCTGCAGATGGGACCTGTTGTAGTACGGAGTCTACAGCGATTTGGACATGGTCGATGAGTTAGTCTGTGTCGGCATTACGTATAGAGGCACCCGTAGATGCGATGGTCGTCGCTGACCTTCAAGACTGCCGAGGCGTCGAGAACAGATGTCCTCTTTGACGTATACCCAAACTCCAGCCCGATGTACAAAGGTGTTACAATTTGTACCCCGGACAGGAGAGGCGTCTCGGTCTTAAAAAGAGTCGGCTTCGCCGACTTTCAGATGGTACGTAGTGGACTTCATTTAAGTTCGAATGAAATTCCCTGATGTTGCAAATTCACAAATAGCGTGGTAGGAGTCACCTTTGTCTTATTGCTCTACTTGCCACGAGCAGTATTAGTCTTGAGCGGAATTTCCGGATACGCGAGACAGCCTGAGCACCCGCGCTAAGGAAGAGTAGGGTAGCTTGGGCGTGGATGCTCAGCCAGAGACTCTCCAATACCAGGGGTGCTGGTACCCTCCTGGGATGGTTTTTATTTAATTATACTACCGTGTTTTTGACGTGGTAGAGCCATGCTGCATCTATATTAGTAGTATCGTTGTAGCACGAATGGGTCGGCTCGACCGGGGAAGGCCCACGCTCTCACAGAAAACCAGCATAAAATAGTAGCTTAACGCTGCTGTGTTTCGTATGGTGAGTGTAGAGAACCGGAGACCCTTTTTACTGGCATAGAGGCATTCCATCTTAGTCCTCACGGGTGACAACGCATTTGCATCTTGAGTCTTTATTGAGGATAAATGTAGATGTCTATGGGTCACAGTAACCACTTACCATCAGGTGGACTGTGTGCTCGTTTGTCACCATATCCTATAAAAAAAAATGTTTAGGGGAAGAGAGGTTAGGCTTCCGACCACCTGCACTATGGAGTGTAGAGTACAAGGAGAACCCTCTTATAAGGGGCGAAAGTTGAAAAAGTGCCCTACTATTTACTGAAAATAGAGGTTCCAAAACCTACCACAATAGCGCTGGCGTCTGAAAAACTACGATATGAAGATAGCTGTTGTGAAGGGAGTGAAGTCAGCTGAATTCAAATATTTAAACAATTTCATGGTTAGTGTAGTTAGTAAAATGGCAGTACACAAAATCTCAACTATTTACGTAGTACAAAACCAAGCGGATTGGTCGGTCCTTGTTTATTTCTCCATCTTATTCTAATTACTGGCGCTTTTTTTTTTAAATTTATCTTATGCTAATGCAGCGCCACCCTTATTGGACACGATTTTAGGGACACTTTTCATATATAGAGATGGTCCTCCTTCTCTCTACACTCCATAACCTGCACTTAACTGATTCGTTGCGGCACCAATTTTCGACAACTTTTAGCTGTGGCGGCGAACAAATATTTCATGACACGTCGGGCGTGTCAAGCGCCACAGACACGCCTATTGTGCCATCCGCCATGTGTAAAAGTAATGTTCTTTTTTATGTTTTTTTACTTGTTTAGACCTAATTAAGTTTATTTGACATCAAACATAAGTCACAAATGGAAGGATACTTGTTTTTAGTTGGTTACTACATGTTTTTTTACGCGTTTTCTTTGAAATTGAGAGTAAGTGACTTTTCATGAAGAGATTACAAACCTTTTGTACTATTTTTTGTTTTATAAAAAAATCATTTATATAAGTAGGTACAGCTAAATCACCTTGGAAAACGTTGTTTTTACTAAATTAAATTTCACCTAATAAAAACATTTGTAAATATCAAACAATCAAGAACCTTAATTTGAAAAAAAAAGGTTTATGATTCATTGATATTTACAAATGTTAAATATTATTTAATGTTATACAAATGTAAAAGTAAGGTCGATCTAAAAACGTCTAATTAGTAAGAATAGCAAAACAAGTGTTTTCAAAAGGAAAAAAACGCCGGCGCTATACGGCGGCGGATTGACAAAAGACTATTTATTAGCGAACTTTTTTTATGCATGAACGGTTTCGAACTGTTTCAAGCAAAAAAAAACCTTATACCATATCACAAGCGCACATGGTAATTCGTAGGTCTATTCGGCCATATGATAGTAAGAAGACGGCAGGTCAACCATTTTAAGCAAAATTAAACAATAAGACAAACGCATTAGAATAGAATAGAATAATTTTTATTCAATATACAATATACATTGTACAATATACAGTGTAACAATATACATTGTTTTTTTTACAGGAGACTTGTTTTCCAGAAATTTATTTACAACTTCAGTTTGTAAGCGATCGCAATGAGTGTTATTATTTGTTACTTATTAGACAATTTTTCCATAACATGATTTAAAACCCACAAAGTAAAAATAGTACCATGTACACGTTAAAAAAAGGTTGACAACC